TTGTCCAATAAGAAGACGTGAAACAGGAGTTATTTTTATAGGTTATAAGAGTGTCTTAAGTTCTTCGATATTTACAAGTCAAGTCATCCAATCTTTATCTTTGTAAAAAACTTACAAGGCTTTTGTGTTAAACATCCTATTTCACAACTTAGTTTGGCAAGTAAAAGAAATTCTTTATTTTTTTGGTTGATTAGTTAGGTGGGGTGTACAAGGGTTTAAGGGTTCGAGTTTGGGAAACACTCAATTGACAATGAACAATTAAGGTATGCACAAAAAACCCCAAGATTTATGTAACTAGGCAAAAAAATCTACCCATGTCCACTACGCGTGATCAAGTTCACTATAGGAGAAATCAACAATATCTGTATAATTTAACCACTCAATTTAGTCCCAAAAACCAAGCCCTTAAACCCCGCTACCCTGTTCTCAACTCACACTCTTATACCCATTAAAGGTACCCCCAAGGATCACTTAGTGAACTTGATGACGTTTTGATCCGAAGTTCAAATGCCTAATGGTGAGAAATCTAATGCCCTTTAATAGGCATTTCAAAGCAATGGAAAGATAGGTAACTTCAAAGGCAATACAAAGAAATCTTTGAACGTCAAACAAGTAAATGCAATCTGAATATTGCATCCCCATTTGCTTCACGGATAATAACCCACCAAACACGAGCCATTTCACAGATCTTTGCTTCGTCTTCCATTGTGACGTCAAATTTCAATGCCCACGACATGCTCACCGATACATTTAATTCAAGTCAAACTTTCAACAAATCTACTTTGACGAGAATTCAATGCCCTCTACCTACGTTGTCATGTTCACATCTAGTTTTAGATGTCTATACCCACGCTCTGAGACAATCCATCAATCTTTAATGTGAGACATTGATCGAATCCAAGTAATGTTTCAACTTAATTGTAGTGGTTAGCTTAGTCGTTATATCTACTAGGTTTTCTACGGCTATAATTTGTTAAAAATGTGACTCGAATTAACTGCATCGATGTGCATACAACTAGGTGACAAAATCCGACAGTGAAATGGAAAACGAAACAAAACTCTGCGACATGACCCTTCTAGATAACTAGCCCAGATATAATAAGTATTCATACTTTGACATCAAGTAACCTTCAATCTTTTCCACCTCCCTATTAGAATTTCCACTTTTACTAAAATTACATTCCCTATATATATATATTCTTACTTATCTTCATTTTTTTGTTCTAAACTTATCTCTAGAATTCTATTTCATTATTAATTTTTCTTTAATTTTCATCAATCTATATTATATGCCTCTCCATTAGTTTCCTAGGTACGCATCTAGTTCCCATCGGAACCTCATTGACACAAATCTAGTTTGATTTTCAAATATTCTTGTTTCAAGTCTTAACTATTCTTCATCGCTCCCTCCAAAAGTTCAATCATAAAACTCCTTAACTTAATAATCCGATAATTTGTACAAATCCGATTGTACCCTCCATATCAATGTCCTTTTTGTATTCGGAAAATATAATAGGACCAATTTTTATATCACATTATTTGCAAATTAGCAAATATTTTCCTTTAAATTCAATAATCAAGCACACAACAATCACCAAAAAATGCATGAATTGAAGCTGCAGCATTGAAAACCAATTTCAATGGTAAATCTTTCCATACTTGTCTTTACTTGCATACTATACATAATTTTAAACAGCTCATAAATTTGGAATAAAATTTCAATTTGGGATTCTTGAAGAAGCAACCATACCCATCAAGTCAAAGAGCTAAGATAATAAACAAATGTGTATAGATGCATAAAGAAAACGGAGAAACGGGGTTCGCTAACCTTAGCAACCATGCGTTGGAAAGTGATGTCTTCGTCATCTATTTTTTCCTTCCCTTTTCCCCATTTCTTATCTGTAATGTAATAGATAGTTTATATGCATACAGATATGCATAAGAATAATTAAACAAGTACGGATGAATCACTGAAAATACATAAACACGTAAACACACACTAAACAAACACGACTGAAGAATTGAAAAGACATAAACACGAACACACACGCGCGCGCGAATAAATGTACCTTTAGGATCGGTGAGGTTGGTGTATTCTCGAACTTCCCTTCCTGACATGGCTGATTAAAAGGGTATTATTATGTGTGTGTCAGTGTGTGGGTGTGAGGACGAACTCTCCCCGGTCTAGCTCTCCCCCGCTCTCTCTCTCTCTCTCTCTCTCTCTCTCTCTCTCTCCGTCCCAGTTTTTGCTACCGTGCCTTGAATTTGTAATTGAATTTGGGGCTACACGTCGAACCCACACATAGCACTGTACTCCCGTGCCCAATCAATCTTTAAGAATTTCTATCTTATACTGGTACTCTTAATTTTTTTTATATTATATTCTTAATTTATTAAAAATATTACAACATAACTTTTTTATTAATTTAGATATTTATTCTATCAAGATAAATATAAATTTTTTATTAGTTTAGATATTTATTCTATCAAGATAAATAAAATGAGTTTTGACGGAATAAGAAACTAAAGCTAACAAAAATATCACAGTATAATGTTTTTAATACATTAAGGACATGTTTATTTTGATGATTGTTATATATGGTATTGAGAAATATAGTATTTACATTTTTAATACTAATGAAAATTAGTATCATTAATAGAAAGTATTTCAATCCTTTCTTATGTTTGTTAGTTCAATATGTACTATGATGAGTCCCACAAATAATCATCTATTTTATCACACATTTTATATCAAATATATAATTTGAATCTTAACATCATCTATTCCATTACTCCGATTGTGTAACGTTTTTGCACAATGTTTGATATAATACATGGTATGGCAATCTATACCAAAAAAATTATGGATAATGTAAAAAATCCACATAAAAAATAAAAAAAAATTAATTTTATGAATAAGCCAAATTTAAACATAATACAAGAAATAAATTTAAAATATAAAATTTTTTTAAATGACACCGTACGCTTAGTCATAATAGAAGAAAAAAAATCAAAATCATAAAATTTTTTTAAATTAAAAAACCAAAAATCATTGGTGGTCAAATCTCATACTAACATTTAAAGGACGATGGGTAATTCAATCATTAATCTCTTTAATACCGTTGGTGGCCAAAACCCAAAAAATAACACTACCTCCTATGTGGTATTATACAAGCCTATCTACGTGGGTTTCGGTGACTGTAGCGAACAGGTTAGTATTGCAACCCGAAAAATAGTACCACATAAAAAAAAAGGCAAACAAATAAGGTATTATTGGGCTTTACGTACTATTTTTCCTAATTCCACATCTTTATACCACCGTTATCCTTCAAACAACATATGTCCTAAAAGTGTGTTTGGTTTAAGCATTAGGAATGACCGAATTATAATGTTGTTCATCCCTTATCCATCCATTCGACATTTGGACTAATTTTAGTGATAATCTCTCTTCATTTCATGTTTGGTTTAAGTATTAAGAAGCAATGAACACCATATATATCTTATTCCATACTTTGATTGGATAGAGTATTGAATGATAATATAAAAATTAAATTACTAAAAAACTCTCAAGATAAACAATGATATTAATATTCTAAAAATATTTATATTTATATCCTAAAAATATTTGAGGATAAAAATATATTTTGGCCAACTACATCCCAATTGAACTATTTAGAAATACTTGAGCATAAAAATATCTTTTGGCCAATTACATCCCAATTGAACTATTTAAATCCACAAAAAAGGTGGGTTTATTTAAGAAGTTGTATGTAGTATTAAATACATTATTTATCCGGGGCAATATTTTTTTATATGATAATAACGGACAAAAAATGTGTATCCAAATATGGGTATAATAGAGATAAGGTGGATCCGACGCTTTATTTTCCAATCCCTCTTTACTGATACATAAAACAAACACATCCTAATATGAAAAATCTCATTTTTGAAGGTGTAAAATAAAACAATTTAAATCTTTTCAGGGTGCTAAGTTAGATTCCCCCTTTATTTTAAATGGCTCATTAATTATGGTATTTGTTTTAAATGGTTTCTTAAATTTTTAATTATTTTAATTTATTCTTTGAATTGATCATTTCGTTGATATTAAATATTAAATGAGGCAAAATAATAATTAATTTTAACTAATTTTATCTCATTTAAAAGTTAATTTAAAAAAAAAATATTTTATTTATCAATTAGTCTTAACAGAATGAGTTGATTGAAATAAATTATATAGTTTAAAGGGCAAATTAACAAAATTAAAAATTCGTGGGGCAAGTTAAAACAAAGGTTATAGTTCACGTGGCATTTATGAGATTTACCTATGTATTAACAAATAACGGTCTTAGCCCAAGTGTTATCAACAGAAGGAGACGCAGGAAATGGCTTCCCCGAGGCATTGGAGTCGGGGTCTCCAGCCTCCGAGCTGGGATTGAAACAAAAAGTTTCCACTTGCAACAAAGATCAAAATTTTGTTTTGTTTCGGTTATATAGAAAATAGAAATATTTTGATGTATTTTAAAAATATTTTGACCCATTTCAGAAAATAGAATTAAAAAAATAAAAATTATTTTTTCAAAATATCAGTCGAAATTGTGCAAATGCATTATAATATTACAAAACGCTTCAAAACATTATAAAATATTTCAAAATATTAGAATTTCAATTCTATAACTAATTCATTTCAAACTGCCTAAAAATAAAAACGTTTCGATTTCGAAATTTGCTTACAACCCAAAAGAAACATGTCACAGTACAAGTGTGAGAACGGTTATTCTAAATTACACTCTTCAAGGGAGAGACAGGGAGTAATGACACTGCTCTACACTGACCTTCAAAACCAAAGGTCTCGAAAGCTCTCCGAAGATATCAACCTTCATACTAGGGGATATACTACCCACAACTTGTTTTGCCGTCCACAGGAACGACAGACAGATCCGTTGCCTACATGAACTCAAGAATATTGTGTTGATGAACTCCTGAATGATCAAGACCTGGCTTCATATCAATACATCCTTATAGCCCCTGTGAGCTGATCCATGATCTCCAATCTGTCGGTAACTCATAGCCAGGATCTGGTATATGATTGCATTTGGCATTATACCCATCTTTATCATATCTGCATACAAGATCATCACATCAATTACATTCTTGGCTACAGAATGCCCCTCTATCATAAAAGTGTAAGTGAGCAAATCTGGTTTCAAACCATTGCATCGCATATCGGAGAAAAATTTACTGGCTTTAAATACCCGCCCGTCCTTGCAAAGATCATGGATTAGGGTAGCGTACGTGACATTATTGGGCAATGAATACCTATTATCCACCTGATCCATTTTGGTCCTAGCAGGGCCAGCTTTGATTTTAATTTTTCCCAAGAATAAATTGATTGCATCATTAATCCTTCCATCCTTGCACAGTCCATCAATTAAGCAAGTAAGAGTAAAAACATTAGGTGTGAGTCCTGCGTCCGTCATTTCCTTGTACAGCCAAAAGGCTGCTTTCATATTACCATCTTTAAAGTGCCCATCAATTAAAGCTGTATAAGCAACCACATCAGGCTCAAGCCCTTTAATCACCATTTCTGTATGCAAACCCATTGCAGCTTCCATGTTCCCTGCCTTGCAGTAACCATCTATCAAGGTAGAAAAGGTAATGACATTGGGACCTAGACCTTTTTCTCCCATTTGAGTACACACCTCCAAAGCCTTCTCCATACCGCCTACCTTACAATACCCATCAATGAGTGTATTATACACCACAGAATTTATACATGCTCCAGCTTCAATCATCTTCCTCAGTAAACCATGTGCCTCATCCACTCTACCTAAATCACAATAACCTTTTATAAGTACACCATAGGTAAAAATATCAGGTGAAATACCAATCTTTTCCATCTCTGCATACATATCCATCGCTGCACACAGACTGCCTGTTTTACAGGAGCCATCAATCAGACAAGTGTAAACAAATAAATTAGGAATGACTCCAAACTTGACCATATGGACAAAGCAGTTTCTTGCGGCTACCAATTCACCAACTTTGCAAAGAGCGTCTGTTATGATACCAAATGTAACAACATTTGGCTGCAAATTATTACTTAACATTTCATGATACAAATCAAAGATTTTTTCAATATTTTCTAACTTACAATAGCCATCCATCAGTGTATTATAAGTATACAGATTGGGAACTACACCAGCTTCCTGCATTGTCCTAAACATGTTTTCTGCTTCCAATATCTTACTCTCGCTGCAGAGACCACGTATCAGAGTCGTGTAAATCACAACTGTCGGTTCTATCTTCTTCTCAATCATCTCATCCAAAAACAATCTGGCTTTCACAATATCGCCTTGACCACACCAAGCATCAATCAAAATCCCATATGTGACAACACTAGGTGATACCCCACGAGAAACCATGTCCCCATAGACTTCACACATCGAATCAAGCCTACCCCTCTTGAAAAATGCATCTAAAAGTGCATTGCAAGCCTGAATTTGAGGCAATTCTGCCATTTTCCGGTACACACCATAGGCCTCCTCAACAAGACCCATTTCAGACAATGCAATGATCAACACACCAAACACACTGGGACTGAATTTGGGACTCTGCAATTGATTAAGCGCATTGAAAACAGAGGAACAGGCCCGCCGGGGCTCGTGGGTCTTGCGGAGAGTTTCTATGAGGTCTTTCATCAAACACCTTGCCTTGATGTACCATTTTGCACTGGTTAATACGTGAATGATAGCCGGATATAGCTGTAGAATCTGAATTGGGTTAGGTCTTTTTAAGGCTGAGTTGAATATGTGAAGTGCTCGGTCTGGGCTTTTGCAACTGAGTATTGTGGTTGTGAGATTTGATTTGAAAGGAGCTGAAGGTGAAGACGAAGAAGAGGAAGGAAATAAAGGCGATAAGGAGGATGAGATTGCTTTGGAGATAATTACACCTCTCTTGATGCAGATGAGCTTATTCTTTTGTTGGAAAAATCTAAACATTGCTCAGGCTTTGGCCATCATTATTTGTTCCCTTACTCAATGGTTTTCTTAGCATTTATGCGTTGAGGCTGTGCGCTGCCAATGAATCTGTTGGCGTCGCCCACCTGAGTTGGACGGTCACATAACGGTACGAAGAACTACAGTGACTTTAATAATTTTATGTTTGGTAGGAGAGATGAAAAAGAAAAACAAAAGAATAAGTTTGGATGAAAGGAAAATGTTATGCAGTTTGTTAACTAAATGGAAAGTGGAGAATAAAATAAAATATTCATATTTAAATTATCATTTATTTATATTTGAATTTAAATTTAAATCATAATTAAAAATATTCTTAGTTGTTCTCATTTGTTTTATAAAACATGTAAGGACAAACATTTGTACGATTTTACGAAGGATCTAAGCACGAGTCAATTTGGTTTATTATAATTTTTAAGTAGAGTATTTGTTTTCTTTTCTTAATGATTTTTCAAGCGAGATTATGATCAAATCCGTTTAAGTTGAACTCTCTTACCCTCCTCTTCTCTAAATACTCTTTGGCCTCCTTAAAGCCCTTCTTACGTGTAAACTCTCTCTCTCTCTCTCTCGCTAAAGTCAAGCAAGCAAAGGTCAATCTTTATTGGTTTTTAAGATACAAATCAAGCAAAACTTTATCTTATTGAGCATTAAAGGGTGTTGTTCATATAGAGTCCGACTCAATCTTATGTTTTTCAAATAAAACAAAGGTTTAGAAAAAAAACTTTTTCTTTGAATAATACTTAGGAGTCATTAACAAATTAATCACTAATTTTAATTTATCCTAATCATCTTAAGTCTATAATTAAATTGAGGGTGGTAAGGTCTTTAAAGTTTTTACCTTTGTCCTAAGAATGAATGTGCATTCGGGATAGTCTTTAATATGTCATTATCGCTTGAACTCCTTCCTTCATTTGATACTTTTGAATCTGACCATTGTATTATCATGATTATGGAATAAATTGAAATTTACAAAAGATTTAAGAAATCTTTCAATCCTGCACATGAATTAAGAACAGAACCATCTAATGCAACTAAATTCTAACTCTAGCATTGGAAACCTCTAGTAAAAATAAATGTTGATGCAACAATTAGATCAGATGGCTTGTGCATAGCAGCAATTGCAATAAACTCAATAGCAGTGGTAATTAGGGCAAGAACAACAACAGATCAAGAGACTAACCCTTTGATAACAGAAGTTCTAGCAGCTAGGATGACAACAAACTGGGCAGAACAAGAGGAATGGGGTTACGTGACAATTGAAGGAGACTCGCAGAGCGTCTGAAAGTCCATTGACACTATAGTCCGCAATCTGAAAGTCCTCGTGACGAGCCACCTTGACTGGAGGATGACACACACAAGAAGGAACATAAACACAATAGCTCATAATCTTGCCAAATGGGGTCTGGTTAGAAAATTCAATGGACCTTTGCAGCATATTGACCTCCCCAACACAATAAGAGTCGGTAACCTAGAAGACCAAGCCCACCATTAAGTGACACTAGAAGGCTAGACCAAAAGGAAGATTTATTAACTCCAACAGTAACTCAAGTGGTAATTGAGACGAGTTGTAAACACAGACGTCTTAAATTTGAATCTTGACAACCCATTAGATCTGACTATAAGGGAGAAATCCCTTGTAAATACCCTAGTTCCGATGTGTAAGGGTGTGCAATTATCCAAAAATCCGACACCGATTCTTACTTTGGACAAATTCTGCCTCCGATGAAGTTAGAGTTTGTCGGAGTTGAATTCGGAGGGCAGTGGAAAATTTTGATCGGAGTCGAAGTCCAAAACATATTTCGAAAAATATCCAACTCCAACTATTTATTAATAATTTTTTTTAATTATATATATATATATAATTATATATATATATATATATATATATATATATATATATATATATATTATAGCTGAGTTTGAATCTCAAAAACTTATCTTGAGCTTTTAACGGCTTAGGTCAATTATGAGCAAAAAATAAGTTATATCCAAAGATCTATTTGATCTCTAATTTTTTGCGGCTCAGATCAATTCAAAAATATTAATTTGACGGATTAGATTGTCAGACGAATTTTGTTTTCCTGCTTAAGGCACCTTCAATTTTTAATTACCCCAAATTATGCTCTTCCATTTCCACAGTCTATTCACAGTTCCCGAATTTTCATATTCACCCCTTAATTCACTGGCAAATATCCCACCAGGTCATACACATATCTTCCCCAAATTATACCTACCTTAATTCATTACGGTTTTTAAATTCATTATTGATGAATTGGAGTGACATATTTGATTTTAGCATTTCATGAAAACTATTTTTTTTTTCATCTATGATTTCATTGAGTGAGTGAATGATTTTTTTTGTATTAGGTAACTTTAATTTTTGAATTAATGCAAGCAGTATAGAATTTTAGTTTTTTAATACACAGAGAACAAGACACAATATCTTGAGTTTGGGACTTTGGGTGTTTAGATAATGAGTAAAAAAGTTCCACTTATTCTAATTTTATAATTTAAGTAGAATATTTTTCAATTCAAAAAATTAAAAAGGTAAAATATTTTCGGTACTTCATTCAATTTTTCATGAAAACGATGTTTTGCAAATTAGCATTTTTTTAAAGGTTTATATTATGAAAGACCGTTAGCGTGAGTCATTTTTTTAAAAAAAATTGATTAAACAAATTGTGCATGCTGATTGATATTGTCCAAGAGTTGTGTTTTTTAAGTTTATTTTATAAAAAAAAATTAATAGTAGGTCTATATTGATTGGTACTTTGTTTTATACATTGTTTTCAATTGTAATTTTTTTTTAAATAGTATCTTTAGGGACGGACAATATATATATATATATCCATTGACATGTGGTTGATTTGATTTTATTCAGGATTTCTTGTTCACTTAAACCATCTATGTTCCATTCATAGAGTTTGTTAGATTGAACAGAAAACTGATTATTAATATTTTTTTCTTCAATTTGAAGATCAGGTGGTGTTGGTCTAGTATACCAATTTTTACTAATACTGGTTGGATTAACATTTGAAAAGGTCAATTTGTTAATCTGTTGGTTACCAAAATATATATATATATATAGGGTGGAGCTAGTCACATCCTACAAGTCTCCATTCTCACCCCATTTAATTTTTTATTATCAAATTATTAAGTTCATCTCATCTATACTCATCTCATTAGTAACTAAGTACATCTTATGCTGCATACACCTCTTTTAATAAGTAAACTTATTTTATATTTTGTCATAATTGAAGTTTTATTTTTTATCTCTTCTCATACACTCACAAAAACACTTTTTTAAATATGAATTTTTTTAGTGAGATGCATGTTAGTATTACTTCTCAATTTAATTTTATATTTAATTTCATATTTGTAATATAAATTTTTATTATTTTCGGTATGTTTTCATATCTTTGGCAAGTTTAATAATTTTTTATTTAGAATTTATATGTGTGCATATATATATATTTAGATTATTTGTTCTTTTTTATCTTATTAAAGTTTTGCACTTATGCTTGTTTTTTTTCTTGTTCGATTATGTGTTTGTGCTTGATGCTTATTTTTTTTTATATTCGATTTTACGTCTTGTAATTTTGTTTGTTTCTTTAATTTTTACTTGATTTTTTTCCCTTATTGTTTCAGTTTGCTTATTTATTTCTGTTTTTTCCTTGTTTCATTCATTATTTTTTTCTGGCTTCGGGTCTACTTCTTTCTTTACTTTTTTTTTCTTGTTTCATTCTTTTCTTTTTTGTTGTTTCACCATGCTTGGTTTTTTTGCTTGTTTTATTTTTTTTCTCTTGTTTCGTAAATATATTTATGAATTTAAACTTATTGTCTTATTTCATTAAAAATGTGCATATAGAATTAGTAAATTTAATTATTAATGAGTGTGTATGTAGCATAAGGTGAAATTAGTTACTACCGAGGTAGGCATAGAAAGGGTGAACTTAATAATTTGAGAATGAAAAATTAAATGGAGTAAGAATAAAGATTTGCGAGATGGGAATAGCTCCACCCATATACATATTATTATCAAACCAAATGCCGGTTACGCCTCCATACACCACTTCTCTCTCTCACTCCACGCTTGATGCCTCCATACACCACATCTTTCTCTCTCTCACCCGCATCTTTGTTGTCTAGAGAAAGAGACCTGTGAAGGCTAAAGCCTTTGTTGTCGACAGTGAAGCTTGAACAGAGGATTTGACGTTGAAACATGAATAGAGTAGAACCGTGAAGCCTTTATAGTAATCACGTTTTCTATCTCACTGTCACACCCCAACTCCAAGGGCATGACCGGCTGTGAACCATAGATCCATAACCTATGGAACACGTAAGCCTAACAATAAACTAATAATATCAGAGCGAAAAATAACATTAACACTAAATTGATCTCATGTCAATATATCAAAGTCAACATACCTAAACATGTTTGCCTCAATTATCCAACAAGTGAAGATAGCTATACAATATATGCTACGGAGGTCACAATACTATTAGTCCCCAATCAATTCCTTGAGTCCGCTATTGACACTCCAATCTTTTACCTGAAAAAATTTTATTTTGAAAACATGAGTTAAGAAGCCCAGTGAATGGAAAGACATGCATTTTCAAAGTGGCTGAAAAATATTTTTGGCATACGACATGTAAATCAAAGATTTAGAAAAAATAATTTCATAAAAATAACCAATTTCTCAAGAATAACACAATGGAGTTTCAACAAGAAATCATACCACAATAGTGAATCATATCATAATAGTAGAGACTGTACGATATCCAATAATCGATGGGAACCAAATACCAAATACCAAAAATATTTCTCAGGGTTGGATCTAACATCGTACTTAGGGTCACTACAGCCTCCCCCAGATCTGTTCCCTAAGACGACCTGGTGAAGGTCACCAGGACGCACCATGCACTGTTTCTTCAACCGTTGAGCACTAGGGTCACCTCAACCTCCCTGGGTCTGTTCCCTAGTGGTCAGAGTCACCCGCACACAGAAGAATAATTTTCTTAGACTTTTAATTTTGGTCCTATTCACCATCACTAAGTCTCACCATATAAACAAGTGATTGAGTCACAATACTTCACAAAAGAACTCACCAAAGTAAGGAGAATCGTATGCCACAAGTATTTAGACACTCAGTAAAATATTTTGTAAAGGTAGTAATGAAACAACATGATGTATTGTTTTTAAAATGTTTAGGGATACAGGAAATTTTCGAACATACGTAGCATGTCAAACTACTCATCTCAAGTCCAAAGAGAATAATATGCTTCGTGAGTGTTGCTTGTTACCCGAAGTAGAGTGAGATGTTATTGATGTCTTTTTTCTTTTTCTCACAATTTTTTTTTATGAAGTGTTTTTCCTTCCTTCTTCTCTTTTTTACTCTTTATTCTTTCTTAAAAGTGGAAGACTACTTGTGCCCTAGTATCCTTAATCCAATCTCCAAATGTCTTATTTACAGGCATCCTAGGATTATTCTAGAGAATATTGACATATGACATATTTAAGGGAGATTCCCTAGAATATTCTACCATTTCCCCTCTCCTAAATCCTTCTAGGTTTCCAACTTATTTTGCACATGACAATTCCACAAGTATCTAGATTCATCTATAATATTTTAAAATTTTCTCCAACCTTCTAAATCCTTCCGAAACTCTCTAGAACATTATAAATCCCTCTAGAACCTTCTAGTATTTGCTAGTACCTTCTAAAATATTCTAGACTTCTCTAGATTGTTCTAAAATTTTTCGGATTCTTCTAGGACCTTCTTCAACATTTTAGATTCTTCTAGATTATTCTAGGTTATTATTGAACTTCCTATAATCTTCTAGACTATTATATATTTTTCTAGAAATTTCTCCAATATTCTAGATTATTCTAGACTATTCTAAATTCTTCTTTAAAATTTTTCTTATTCCTTACAAGATAATATTTCTAATTAGTTCCTTGCCAAATTGGAACGGGGTATTACACTTACTCTCTGTCGTTGTGTTCTCTCTCTCTCATTTTATCTGCCTATTTGCTGCTCTCTCGTTCTTCTCTTTTACATCTGTTAGCTGAAAAATGGAACTCCATATTCCCAAATATCAACAAAGAGTAAAAATTGGCCCAAATCCAAAACTCCAAGTCCGACTTCGCCAATCAAAATCAAAGTGAAAACAGAGTCGGGGATAAAATACATCAGAGTCGGAGTCAGAGGCAAAAAATTATTTTGATAATAGTCGGAGTCAGAATTCGGAATTCATGGTTCCTACTTTGTCCGAGTCAGTGCCCACTCCTATTGGCGTGGATGACATGTCTTTGATCAGACTGAATAAAAGATTAATCAATGTATGCGTAAATTGACTCAAATATCTCTAACCGTTACAAAAAAAAAAGACTTGTTATTTATTTTCTTTCACTTGTATTTCCTATTTTCATAGCAAAAACACACACACACGCACACGAATGCATAAGGTCTCATCTGTTACTTCTGTCACTCCTAATTAAGAAGATTAAAATAGAGTCTTATATATCTTGATTTATTTTATTCATTTGAATAATCTCAAATTAGATTAGTAGCTATCCCAAGTAGAAGTGATAAACGAGAGCTGAAGTTTTTAGACCACACTCCTTTGTTTTAATCTGAATTCAACTTGAGGCTAATACAATTTTAACGCCAAATATTTAGCACTTGGATAGACACATTCAATGTAGAGTTGTACGAGAGCAGAAATTTTTAAGTCAATTTAAATTTGAGCAATACTCAAATTGCAAGTTCGAATTTTTGGGACCCAACCCAAAATCGTAAATTTAGATTTTAACTCAAATTGCACCCAATTTTAACCCTCTATTACAATTTGAATTGTGTAACACGTGTTAAGCTTGTATTGGTAGTTTTGTAACTTGGATTGAACTTTGGGGTGACCTATCAACCCATCTAATCAGATTTAGTTGTGTAGCCCTGCTTGTAAATTTGGATCATATGAATATTTATCAAGCATAATCATAATCATAATTTTTTTTTGGATCCCAAAAGGGTTTGAGAGGAATTGCAATTTCAAATAAGCTCAATCTCTACCATTCACTTTTTTTTTCTTCATAAGAAACAATAAAATCGTTTTATTAAGAACTAGTAACATCCAATGGGAGGGAGGACAGAATAAACTCTATGTCCTCCCTCTCGGCTATGCAAACTAGTTACACTTTTTTGAATATTTTTGTAAGTAAATCAATATGCAACAACATTTAGTGTTATTCTAATCCAGGAAACTGTGAAAACCAAACAATAGAATAGTTGTGTGCATGACTAAATTTGGTATATGAATGTGACCACTAACTAATAAATTCTTATATTCATTTCGGATTGATTCGAGTATCTTTTTGGTATAAATGCAGCATAAACCCATGTCCATAGCAACTTGAACAACAAGGGATGCCACATTGGCTTCAAATATGTCACCTTTTAAAATACCATCAAAGATTTGGCAAAAAGCAGCAATAAAATCCCTTTTATAGCTCCCCCTAATACCATTTCTAACTTTCACTCAAATTTTTACTCATATTTGAATAAGTTTTTTTTTTTTAATAATACAGGAATACCTCACCAATCGAGCCCATTTGAACTTGTGATCGGTAGTTAACTTGGATCCACACTTAAAGCCTTATCTTCACATGTCGGGGGTTAAATTTAGGGGAAGTGGCCCCAACAAGCATTTTCACTTTCACTTTGTGAAGTATGGAGCTTTTGACCAATGCCAACTTAAGTCATTTATCAAGTGACCATCTACCACTTAAGCTAATCCCATGAAGTTTAGTAAAAAATTTAATTTGATACAAATGGTGTGACATTATTATAACAATAATATTATTGTGACAATTTAATTGATAACAAAGTGTATTTAACGTTTGAAATTTAAGTTTTTCTCATTATCGATTAATTGTTCGATATTTTCACATTACTATTCAGTCGATGATCGTGATGAATAATCTGGTGAGAACTAATGAAAATATTGATAAATGATTCAATTTAATCCAAACTAGAGGTAACTCGTGTTTGAAGGTACGACATAATATGAATGATTTTGAAAATATTGTTGGTGACCATTAAATAAGTCTATTTGAGATTGTCGGATAAGTTTATTAAAGTTTATCATGTTTTATATTATAGACTAATGATAACTTGTACTTAAAGATATAATATAATATGAATAATTTTGAGAATGATGTTAGTGACTATTAGATAAATTTATTGAAATCTGTCATATTTTATATTATAAAATTATAAATTATAGGTTATCGGAATAGGTTACAAAAATTGAAATCTAACTCGATTCATTTATGACCACCAAAAATAAGGGAATACCAACACCCTCACAACACCAGATCACTTCATATAATTAATTAATTTTTTTTTCCTCCGATGATGCCATGGTAGCCTGAAATTTGCAGGCCGAAGAGAGAGAAAGAAACCAAGAAACACCAAACCCAGAAATTAAACCCCCAAAAAAAAAACCCAAAACCCAGAAAAGCGAAAATCCAACTCTCATTTGCCTGTATTGTACTTTTAAACTGTATAGTTTACTTATATTGATGAATCTTTACATATTAAGGTATGTTTTTGGGGAAGAATTAAGTTTCTAGTTTCTGATGGCGATGAAATCCATAGCCGGAGAGACCCATTATTGTTCCAGTTTGGTATCGGAGAAAACCCATCATTCGATCTGTAAGTATTCAGTTTGGTTACTACTTAAATTAGGGGTTTGCTTCATAGATTGGGTCTCAGTTTGAGTTTTCTTTCAGTTTGTATTGTTTCTAGGGTTTTGTTTTGTTGCGGATCTTTCAATATGGGGTTTGAAAGGTTTGTTCATAAGGGGGTTTTGCCGTTTGGTTGCTGAGAAAATTGTGAGCAATTAAAAAAAGAATATGGTGTTGATTCATAATGTTGGTATTTCTTTTACTGGAATGGGCGAAAAGGAAAATATAGTCAGGTTTTGGTCTATGCAGCTACTTCACAAACTAGTTCAATTGAGAGGTTTATTTACTTATGTATTTAGTTTTGTAATTTGTGTTCATTTACTGGTCAGCCAAACAGATGGCAAAACAATGTTGGCATATTCTTCATTTGGGTGTGTTGGAAGTAATAATATATGATATGTGTGTGTGCACTATTGGGCTCGAAAAAACCTTTGGGCCCCATTTGGATGGCAACAATCCGAATTGGAAATGGGTGGAGATACCTGAGTGGCAATTATTATTATGATCCTGTACTCACTGTTTGGGTTTTGTCAGTAATCTTGTATGGGAATTAATACTCATTCCATTACTGTTTTTGCTTTGGTCCATACTAATTGAAATGATAGGCCAAAGTGCAAGGCAGAGAAAAGGGCTTATGGAAGATTTCCAATAATAAAAGGAAGCTATTTTTCCAAAAATATTTTTAACAACTTTATTTTGAAGATAATTGCAGAGGGCTTGATTTAAGGAGCAGCTTGATTTTGGGATTTTTACTCCTTTTAAAAATATCCAGTCAACATGGGATTATCATCACTGGCTTGGGTTTAAGATACCCACGGTCAGGAGGAATTTGACTGTTCCCAATTTAGATTATAGATTAGTTGAGTATCCAAACAGTTTAACTAGTGTTTTAGGAATGGGATTCCCATACCAAGGTTATCACCATCTAAATGGGGCTTTAGACTATTAGAATTTGTCATGTTAAATTATTGGATTATTTTAAGTTTTATGTTCTCTTGTTTCTAGGTTTGGTGGATTTGAGCTGTTGACAAATGGGGGAGTCGGGCTCAGTTGATGTTATACTGGAGTTTTTGAGGAGGAACAAACTTACGAGGGCAGAGGCTGCTTTGCGCAGTGAACTATGCAGCCGCTCGGATTTGAATGGAGTACTTGAAAAACTTGCCCTTGAAGAAAAGGATGAAGCAAATGGGGGCGCACTGGCTGCAGAAAATCAAGTCACGAGTTATCAAGGTAGTGGGGTAGTAGTTTCTAAGGAGCTTATTGTCAAGGAGATAGAGTGCGGGGCTGCGAGAAATGGGTCCGAGGGCATATGGAAAAAGGAGGTTGCTTATGTTGGGGAACGAAGTAAGGGTGACGAACTGGTTGGGACGAGTGACAAGCATTTTACCTTTTCTAAGAGTTTGGAGGATTCGGTGCTTGATTTGTATAATTTGAAGTACAATCCTAGCAATGGCCCACTTGTTTATTATCAGAATGATGACAGTGTCAATGAGAACAGCTTTTCGGAGTTTCAGGTCTCTGTTCAATCAAGGTTTCAGTCGGCTGAAATTTCGGATATTGGTAAAGCTAATGCGAAATGTGGCGAAGATATAACTTTTTCGAGTGAAACGAAAGCTTCATGGCTTGGAAGCACTAGCAAAGCAAATGTGGAATTAAAGCACGAGAGGAGCCAAACTAACGAGCTTAAGGAAGTTGATCAGCAACACAGGATCAGTGCTGCCTACTCCAAAGATGAGTTTGTGGAGAATCCGTGGTCTAGAAGTGATAGACCCTCAAATCCATCTTCAGAACTGTGGAAAACTTGTTCAATCAAACCTGTTTTCCCATTACCCAAAGTGGATGCGTCTACCAGTTATGATAACTCAATTGGCATAACTGACAAAAAAGAAGGAAAAAGAAAAGTTGAGATCAATGACATTAGGGCATCAGTAAAAGAGGAAGTGGATGAGGTTGGAAGAGCTTTGTACTTTGGAAAGGCTCAAGGGAGTGCTGAGCCAAAAGGTTTTAGTGCCTTAGGTTTTCATCTTGCATCTGAGAATCAAAAAGAAGAGTTCCCAAGGTTGCCACCAGTTAGACTTAAGTCAGAGGACAAGTCTTTCAATATAAATTGGGAGGAGAAATTTGAATGTGATGGAACTGAATCGAAGATTATTAATGCTGAAAATGCCTACCTTATAGGGTCATTTCTTGATGTTCCTATTGGGCAAGAAATTAACTCTGCAGGTTTGCTCATATTCCCTCTATGCTTGGCCCATACTGATTCCTAATATGAAGTTTGATAACTTGGGTTCTAACTCAACAGTCACGGATCCTGTTAATTACAGAAAGTCGCTTGAATACAATAATGGATATTCGTCTTCAATTTTTTTGGGTACTTGTGATCCTGATTCCTGTACACATTTGTTTGTTCTTGGACTTGGTGCAAGGCAATAATTTTACTGGAATTCTCTTTACCTATGAATTATTGATATCTAAGTATTGTTTTGTAAAACTAGGATATGAGGAAAAAGGCATTTGTGTACCAAACTGTCTTTTGACGATGTACATTTTTTTTACTATTCACCATTGTTGGTTCAGATAGCAGGGATTTGGGGATTCACAGCATTTTTTGACCGATGTGCTAATAACATGTAAATATTCATATCATTTTTATAGGCTACTTTGCTGGATCTCCAGCCCTTCGAATGCTGTGGAGGGCTTGGCTTTTCTTTTGTGACCATGTGTATTTTTAGCTACTGTATTACACTTCGCAATTTCTTTAGAAAAATATTCCTCTTTTTTTTCCTTGTCAAATAACAAGAGAATTGATGAGCATTTCATCTATAGAAGTCATCCCTTCTGAGTTCTGATTCCATATACTAGTTTCCCAAACTTCACAGGGGACTACTCATCTCTTTTTCCCTTGTGATGTTGAACATTTAATATATATGTGAGGCATGAGGCATCACACTTTAAAATTTGAAGGAAGTGTTTGCTTAGTGATAAAAATGAGGGAAATGCTACGAAAGCTAAATGTTGCACATTTTTATCATTTCTACTTGTTGTTTATGTTGCAGTTTTATTCAAGAAATAAAAAAGGTAGAAAGTCTAAGCCTTGTGATTGATTGTTGAAATAAAACCATAATAGATTCGCAAAATCTTTTGAACTCACTTTTCAGTATTTGGTGCAGCAATCTGTGATAATTCTCTTTCACTTTCTCCTGTGATCCTTTGCAATTTCCATTTACCTTTTGGTGTGATTCCCCTTCTTGAACTTTTGAAACGATCATAATTTTCCACAATGATGATCCAGGTGGAAAAAGGCATGGAGGAGGCAGTTGGCTCTCTGTAAGTCAGGGCATTACTGAGGATACTTCTGATCTTGTTTCTGGGTTTGCAACTATTGGTGATGGATTGAGTGAATCTATTGACTATCCAAATGAGTACTGGGACTCAGATGAATACGATGATGATGATGATGTAGGCTACACTAGACAACCTATTGAAGATGAGACCTGGTTTTTGGCGCATGAGATTGACTACCCTAGTGACAATGAAAAGGGAACAGGCCATGGGAGTGTTCCAGACCCACAAGAAAGAGGTCCTAGCAAAGCTGATGATGATGATCAATCTTTTGAGGAGGAGGATTCTTACTTTTCTGGTGAACGGTATTTCCCCTCAAAAAATGTTGATCCAGTTGCACCTTCTGATGATCCTGTAGGGCTGTCAGTGACTGAAATTTATGGGAGGACAGATGAAAATAACTTGATAGCTCAATATGATGGACAGTTGATGGATGGAGAGGAACTGAATTTGATGCGTGCAGAACCTGTTTGGCAGGGCTTTGTCACTCAGACAAATGACCTTGTAATGTTAGGGGATGGGAAAGCTCTGAATGAGTGTGTAAGGCCTCGGCTGGACGATGTTTGTATTGATGATGATCAGCATGGCTCAGTTAGATCTATTGGCGTGGGAATCAGCAGTGATGCTGCTGATATTGGTAGTGAAGTGCGGGAAAGTCTGATTGGAGGTAGTAGTGAGGGGGACTTAGAATACTTTCATGATCATGAAGCTGGTACTGGTGGGTCCAGACCATCGCAGAATGGTACCAATAAGAAACATCTTGGTGGATTCAACATTGACAAGAGAAGAACTAATCAGGATTCTGATGAGTACATAATGGGAAATGATAAAAGAGGGTGTGAACTGGTGAAAACTCACACAGATGGGGGGTTCTCGTTTGTCCCTCCTAGAGATGGGCAGTTGGTGCAGACGAGCTCTGGTAAATCTCTGTGGTCAAACAAGGGCAACACTATTATAAGTGAAGAAAGTGGAGAGTGTCTAAATACTCTGATGGGAAATGATGACATGCTTGCTTCATGGAGGAGAAAAAGCAGTGAGTCTTCACCTATCAAGAGTTCAAGGGATGAAAACAATGCTAATGCTTCAGGATCTGCAAATTCTAGCCCCTCGAGTCTCTCAAACTATGGTTATGCCGAAAGAGAGCATGTCAAGGGAGAAGAGGATGAAAAAACTGCTAGTGCAAGAGAAGAGGATCCAGGAGTATCATTGGAGGATGAAGAAGCAGTTGCTGTTCAAGAGCAAGTAAAGCAGATAAAGGCCCAGGAGGAGGAATTTGAAACCTTTAATCTTAAGATTGTGCACAGGAAAAACAGGCATGCTTTCACCTACAGATTTAATTACTTCTGCAATTTATATCAAGATGTTTAGCTTTGCATTTTTCCATGTTGGGAGGTGAGATGCTATTCTTACTGCATTTAAGCTCCACTCAGATTAAATTGCAAACTAAATCAGGGCTTTTGAAATTACTTTTCTGAATTTTAGTTTCCTGAGTTACAAATTATTTTATGACAGCAATCAGAATCTGAACTGGGACTATAGTGATAATAACTATGGTTGTTTGATTTTCCATTTACCATAATAGGTTTGTAGTTGCCACCATTCACAAAACTCAAGTAAAGGCCTTTTGAATTTTTGGTCTCGGGTCCATTGCTTTTCCCTTCATTTGAGCTTGACTGTGGAAGTGCCATTTCTGGTAAAACTTGCTGTCAAGAGTGAGAATGCTGGTGCCAGCTTTAAGTGTACTGCTTTGAATTAGAAAGTTTGAGTTTAAGTTTATGACAAGTTGAATGCTTTTAGCTCTATGGGATGCACAGGTGTGATGGCCAATATGTAAAATTAAAAGCTCTCTCTCTCTCTGTAAAGCCCTGCTGTGCACAGGAAAAGAATTTCTCAAAAAGCTAAATATAAAATACCTGAATTTATAAAAAAGTTTTATCGTCAATTAATTGAAATTGACTCAGAAAGTTACCTTAACAAAAAGGTGATGTTTATGACAATGGGAGAAGTGTATGTTGTTGTGATGTTATTTGTCTAAATCTGTCGCTTCTGCGTCTGTCTCTCTTTTACCTTTTGCTTTACCAGATTAAACCCCGTGCACAGCTTTATGGCAGGTGTGCATTTTTTTATAAAAAACAACTGAAAGAAGAATAAGAAATGTAAATAAATAATGGATAAGGAATCCACCTAAAAGAGCAAAATTAAAGCAAAGAAAACAAAAAAAAATTAAAAAATACAAGCAACTTTCCGTTTGTGTTGAAGAGCTGATAGAGAAATATCTCGGAACTCTTCAATAACAACAACCCATAAAGATGCCGAAACTTCACTCTATCACATAACAAATCCTTTTCCTCCTCTTGTCCTTCAAATATTCTACAGTTCCTTTCTATTCAAACTACCCAAAAAATTGCACAATTCCATAATGTTGAAGCTTTTTTCCCTTTTCCAAAACCATCCAATTGCATTACCTAGAGAGAAGCACAATAGCAAGGTGTAACCCATATCAGATCCTCTTCTTTAAAGAGTTTGTGCCACAAGAAAATAGTAATAGGACAATGAAGGAACAAATTGTCAATACTTTCACTATTTTGCTTAAACAAAACACTCCGTTGTGGGAAAATATAAGTGTTAGGCCTTTTCTTTTGCAACAAATCACAAGTATTTAGCTTACTGTGAGCAATTATCCAAGCAAGCACTTGCACCTTAATGGACACTCACTCTTGTCCGAGGTTCAAAAATAGCATCATTAGAGTCATCAATCAAACATTCAAAGTAGGACCTACATGAGAAATTATCGGATGAATCAAGAGGCCACAACATTTTATCATTAATCGATGGAAGCAAAGAAGATTACGTAAGAAGTTAAAGCTCCACCCCTGCCAAAAAAAAAAAAAATGAATAAGAGGAACTACACATCTTAGCCTCAGGAGTATTATGAAAATCTTGACAATCTTATGGTAGGTGTGCGTTAGAGCTCAGAAAAAAGCTGTGGGTGATATAGTGCCAAAATTTGAAAGAGTTTTTTGATGGAAGGTAGATTTTGTGTGGCGTTGGTTGCAAATGACTTGGTGGAGGGATATGGGGGAAAGGTAAAGTGGGGATCTTTTTCAAGATTGGTTTAGAAATAGCTAATCCCCACGTGGATTGAAGTTTCTTAGATGTTTTTTTCAAGTGGTCACAGGTTTTGGGGGCAACCGGAGGTTGTGGATCATGAGTTGTTTGAGCTTTAGTAATCTTTCTACGATGTGGGTGGTTTTGTTGGAAACATAAAGTGGATGCGTCACATTTGCATTTTAGTGATAATACAATTTGCTTTTTATGAGGCAATGTGGAGAAGTTTGATGATATTGTTAATATTATTGAGGTTTTTTGCAATTTTTAGTGGTCGAGACCTAATAGGTCTAAGAGTGTAGTGGCTAGACTCAGCTCTTATTAGAGCAAGGTGGAGTTGGCAGCAAGTGCGGCTGGGTGTGAGATTGCAGACTTGATGACATTAGGGGGAAATCCATTGTTCTATAGGTTTTTGGAACCCTATTGTTGAAAAGGTAAAAAGATGGAATAGTTTTTCTACATGTAAGGGGAGGCTTACTCTTGTTTGGTTGGTGTTGGCAATTGTTTCTATTACTTTTTGTCCCTCTTTAAAATACCAGTAAACATTAAAAAAATTGAAAAAAAGATGATGAGAGATTTCTTGTGGGAATTTAGTGATGAGGGTAAGAAAGATCATCTGATCAACTAGGATTCGGGGTGTAAAATTTGGTTAAGACAAATGTTGCGTTGTTGGAAAAGTGGTCGTGGAAATTTCCTGTGAAACAAGAAGCACACAACATTCTATTATAATTGTAATATGGAGTCCAATTTAATGGATGGGATTGTAGAGGTCAAGCATAGTTGAACTTATATGACTTGTTTTCAGATGGGAGATTCTATTTCTATGGGATATTCTGATTAATTCAGTCACATGGAAGAAATGAATCTGTGACCTAGGATACCTTGTTTGTTCAGTTCATGTACAAATTCTCTTGGAGTTTGGAAATTTGTGGGGCGGGAATTTCGACGAGAATTCATTAGATGATTTATTCAATTTTTTTGTACAAAAACTAAGAGAATTCGCAAATCTGACCAGTCAAATGGGACTGAAAAAATAACTTATTTTGCTGGGGCAATGGATGTAGTTAAACCGAGCATCTGAGCAATGAAATTGTCATTCTATGCCAAACAGGCTATCAAAACCATTCTGGCATATGTTGTTCTATAAATATGTATATAATAGATTTAGTAAATTAGTATATGAGAAACATCGGAAAATGTTTATACAAATACGTTGGAGACGCACTGGACCTTATGAATTTTAGACATTGCTGAACCATATATATCTAGACACCTTGCACACACGGTTACATCTTTGAAGAAAGAAATAGAATGAAGGGTAATATTAACATTTCATTGGACATCTGAATTGATAGTTGCTCCCGGGGGATTACCTTTCTTTTTTGTTTGGTGGCCTCCATTTTGTTGTATGTTGAACTCTTATTGTTATGAATATAGTTTTTAAAGTTCCTTTAAAATATGCTGAAGATTTGCTCATCCCTTGGTCCTCCTTATTTGTTTTCTCATGCTACCAATGGATCAATTGTCTGATTCCAATTTTGTTCTTGGGAACTTGAGCTTGTTTTGCTAACTGATCTTCTGTTTGTTGCTCAGAACTGGCTTTGAGGAGGACAAAAATTTCCATGTTGTTTTAAATTCCGTCTTAGCTGGGCGTTATCATGTTACTGAGTATCTTGGGTCTGCTGCATTCAGCAAAGCTATTCAAGCACATGACCTTCATACCGGCATGGACGTTTGTGTGAAGATTATAAAGAACAACAAAGATTTTTTCGATCAGAGTCTTGATGAGATAAAGCTTCTGAAGTTTGTCAACAAGCATGATCCTGGTGACAAGTACCATATTCTTCGATTGTATGATTACTTTTACTATCGAGTAAGTAAAACATAAATGCTGGACGTGCTACTTTGTTTTGGCTGTCTATTCATTAATGCTTTATTTCGAATAGCATGCATCGGATCTTTGGTTGTCCATGAAGTCTTTTTACTGCTTATTATAGGTCCATAATGTGTTGCTTTTCTAGTAATTAACTAAATTAAGGGTGAGGCTCTTGTTATAGAAATATTGTCATCCATCTCACCGAAGTGCTTTAATAGTACAACATGCTCCTTTTTGTTCATTCTGAACGAACTGTGATTCTTCCCGAGTTCTGACCTTCTTCATGGGTTGTAGTTTCGTACATCCTTCATTTATGGAACTGCATAAAAATGGTTCTTGAAAGATATATATATATATGTGTGTGTGTGTGTGTGTGTGTGGTGTCATGTGTGTGTATCTTCTCTATACAGGGGACTGCAGGTTCAGCGGTTACAATTCAACCCAATAATATTGAGGTTGTAAATTGTAAGTTCAAACCTAAGTGCAGCCACATTGTGTAATAATGCTCAAGAGTATGTCAATACTAATTCTATCCTTCAGGAATCTTCATTAATGGGGACTAAACTGGTGATGTGTACATATATGCATATGCATCTCACTTTTCTCATGCTATGATTGTGATGTTTTACTATTCATTTTTTTCCCTATTTTCTGGAACTGGATCATGCACATGTGCTTTGCACCTAGACTGTTTTGAGTTACAACTAAACAATGTAGTAAACTTGCTGTATAATTCGTGCGATTTACAATCTAAAGCAATTTTTTAAGAATAAATTTTAGTTTTTATTTCCCTTTTTGTATTAACAAAGTTTTGTAGAAATATTTTCTTGTTAGGCTTTACCTCCTAAGATTTAAAAATTTCCACACGCAATTAATAATTTGGATTAATTTTATCTACAATATCACGGTAAGGGTACAAATGCATTAATGGTTTGACGATATATAACTAAAAAGAATCACAAACACTTACTGAATTGAACACTTACCTAAGGGAAAGGCTTTTGAGTTATGGTGGTCATCTAATTTTACACAATTGGTTAAGCGAATTTGAGAAGTAAATAAAAGAAAGTTAGGTTGTAGAAAGTATATAATCAAGTTTTGGTAAGCAAATTAATGTAAAATTTGAGCATGCATAGAATTGATTATGAACCAACAGAAATAAACGAAATAACTTTATTTTAATATTATTAAAAAACATCAAATCAAAATGATGTATTATTACTAGGACTGTAAAAAAGACGAAGAGGAAAAGTTGAGGTTTGGCAATATTATCCCTTTTATATTAAAATAGGTTTTATACTAAATAAAGCTCTTTAATGGATGATCAAAATTTGTTACTAGTTTCAATAAGGAGCTAGCTTTGGTCTTGGTGGGTTTTCTTGTGAGGTCATTTTTCAATGAACCCATTTCCTATGTACTTTTTTTTTTTGATAAGAAACAAAACTTTCATTTCATTGAAAGATACAAATGTACATAATTAGTGGACTAGAAGTCCACTAAAAGAAAACAAGAAACAAACCAATAAAACAAAAACAAAAAGCTACAAATAGCTTTCCAATTGTGTTGAAGAACTAAGAGAGAAGTGTCACGAAAATCATTGGTAATTACATAAAGATGCAAAACTTCACTCTATCCCAAAACAATTCCTTACCCTCCTCCTTTTCTTCCTAGTACATTTTCTATATACTTAATTGCTCCTTTTTTATGAGGAGGTGGTTCTGAGGTTTTTTGGAAGGGTCATTGTCTAGTGTAGTTATAGAAGGGTCAGGTTAATATATGTAAGGTTGTGAGTTTTAGAATTTTAATATGGGGGCAACCACTTGCGGCAGATAATGATAAAACGCAGGTTAGGCCTGTTCCCAACCTCATCTTCCTCCCAACATCTTCAAGTAACAGAGATCAAAGTGGATAATGTATCTTTACGTTTATAAGATAAAAAGAGGCTGTACCTGGAGCCATGACAAGTGTGAATTTGCCCAAGTGATGCTTTAACCTTACTTTGCCCAAGCGATGCGTCACATATTTGAGGCAAAGCATCATCTAATGAGGATGTGATTAAAAAAAAAAAAAAGAAAAAGAAAAAAAAAATGAGGATGCGACTGTCTGGGACTTATCTCGCCCAAGCTATGTGTTACAAATAGAGTCTCAAAATCATCTTATTGGGATAAAACTGTCTAGCGCTAACCTAGCCCAAGCAATGCTTCACAGATTTGAGTTCGGAGAATCAACATCTCCAAAATGGGGATAAGACTGCCTACTGTTTACCTCTTTCAAACCTGGCTGTAGGCACAGACCTTGTGAACTGGGTAGGACAAGCAAGTAAAATGAAATTTTTGCATGTGTTTTCTGATACATTTTCTTGTGAAAACTATAATTAATGGTGATGTCATTGAAATGCCCCTATCATGTTAGTGCATGGATTGCTATCTTGCATGGACTTATCTCTAATCAGTGCCTAGTGTGACCCAAGTTCAGCGCTTGACAGACTGTTGTATCTGCAGGAGCATTTGTTAATTGTATGCGAACTTCTTAAGGCAAACCTGTATGAGTTCCATAAATTTAATAGAGAATCTGGAGGAGAGGTCTACTTCACAATGCCAAGACTCCAGGTTTGTACCATGACAATCTATTTTTAGAGGTTTTCTTTATTCCATTTTCATGTTAGTTAGTGACTTGCTCGCTCTTCATTTATGCAGTCGATCACGATTCAGTGCTTGGAGGCACTTCAATTCTTGCATGGTCTTGGTCTCATACATTGTGATTTGAAGCCAGAGAACATTTTGGTGAAAAGCTACAGTAGGTGTGAAGTGAAGGTCATTGACCTTGGAAGTAGTTGTTTTGAAACAGATCATTTATGCTCGTATGTTCAGTCTAGGTCCTATCGTGCACCTGAGGTTATTATGGGACTTCCGTATGATAAAAAAATTGATATTTGGTCACTTGGCTGCATCTTGGCAGAACTTTGTACTGGCAATGTAAGTTCCTTCCATTGACTGTTAATTTTACTGCCATATCTCATATATGAAATATAAGTTACAGTATGCAGTAGAGGCATATATTATTGTTTTGGAATTTTCTATTTTGCAACTATGGTGCCAACGAATGTGTTTTTTACCTTTCTTTTTCCCCCCTTGTTTGGAAGAGATTAGGGGGGGGGGGGGGTGGATTACAAAACATTGATGACAACTGCATAGATTAGATGGTTAGCTTAGTAGATGCTTTCTTGAAGCTCTATCATTTTAAAAGCAATTTTCTTGTATTTTTTAATTCATTTTTTGTCATGTAGCTATTATCAATAGAACTTGTCACTCAATTTTCATTGGTCGTTCCTTGATTAGAGCATGACAATTTGATTCAGATTTGACAATCAATTAAGGAGTTCCTCGAGCTCAAGAGACAATTTTGACTCTCTCCAGTGGGTTTTGAGAAGAGCTAGTTCATGGGGCATCGAGCTAGCTATCCTGGCAAGCTCCTCTAGTTTGATTATTATTCTTTATTGGACTTATTTTTATGAAAACAACTCGCTATCCAAATGAAAGACGATGAATTAACTACCAAGAAGATAGAGAGTCCCATATATGAGAAAAGGTCACAAATAGAGTTGAACTAAGTAACATTGCAAAGGCATAATGATAATATGGTTGGGGTATCCCCATCCTCCGAACTAGACATGAAGGTCACCTCTCATCAGACTTTTTATAGGGGACAACTCACCCTGTTGAAGTACCAAAGGTGCGCTCTGCCCGGTGACTAAGAAATGGGTTTGTGCTTGAATTGAATTGGCTAAAGGTTGGGTCTTTGCTTTCCTTTAGAAAGAAAGTCACCATGAAGCCCTACACTACTGACTTTGTTTGATTCAAAAGGCGAAGGCAAACAGCCCCTCACAAAAAGTCTTATGACTAGCTGTGGTTGAGATGTTTGTCTAGTGATGAAGCAAAGCAAGTCATGTATGAAGTACATTCAGAGGTGTGTGGTGCCCACTAGTATGGGCCAAAGATGCGAGTGAAGCTCAAACAGATGGGGTATTACTGACCTACAATGGTCTAGGATTGTATAGACTATGCTAAATGCGGCCACATTTTGTCAAATCCATGAAGACAATGCTAAAGCCCTAGCATCTTGGTTCCATTGAAAAGAAATGGGACAATGAACCTCCTGCCAAGAGGCCAAGGTAGCTTGCTAATCCTCAGCCAATTGTTAAACAGAAATACAACTTGATTGTCGGGGGTAATCAGCGGGAAAGAAAAAAAGAAGGTAGATTATTTGATTTTATTTCCTCATTTGGTAAAGATTGGCTTTAAGTAATACGGATGTGATTGGAATTCATCTGTATCACTGAGACATCCGAAGGGCCGACCATATGTACCTTGGGAGACTCGGTCCATTCAAATCAAAATAGAACGAACACCTACGATTAAGGAGAATGGAATTGAGATAATCTTCTAATATGACAGTGAGTGACTGGTAAAGTCATTGAACTTAGTCATTTTGATCAACATGGCTGCAAATCAACATAGTTGCAAGTGGACTGAGTTTATATCTTTAAACTATGACCAAAGTCGTGGCTACTTCAACCAAAAAAAGGGCGACTCCTATTCAAACAGAAAGGAGAACCTCACCTGACGTACGAAGTAGTTGGAGCTGGCCTCCAAATTATGAGAGTTTACTTTTTTTACGTTTATAAGAGCTAGCACCCTTTTGTTTTCTCACTTGTTTTTTCTAATAATAAGGTAAGTTTCAAAGCAACCTGTTTTTTAATAAAAGTAGTTTTCCATCTCAAACGCGACTCCGCAAAGATAAAGTTAGGTGTTTTGATTGCTTTTATGAAGTCGCTTTTTTTTGTTTATGCATTTTCCTTTCTTCCATGCATTTTTGTTGGTCAACAACCAACAGAAGGTCTCTATAGTTTGTTAGTACTAGATTTGGTAGTTTCCACCGGCTTTTTTTTTTTTTTTTTTTTTCTATTTACAGGAATCAGGTTGGGGTTGCTTCACCTCTTGGTAGTGAGATCACTGAGATGGTATTCTTATGACTTGGTTGAATGTGCACAGCGGTTGACGTATGTCATTTGTAAAGGTATAGCTCAATGTTACCTGGATTGTGGGTCATTTTGGTACGTGGTATGGGTACATGGTACGACCCTGTATTTGGTACACAGTACGATAGGGGTAGGTTTACCTAGGACGGTATTTTGTGTCACAATTCGTTTTATAACTCTTATGTAGATCGTTTTCACTATTATACAACATTATATATTACATAACATTCATAAACATAAAGTTAGTTATCATTTATCTAATAGTTGTGCTTGATTTTCTATTATCTAAAACTATATATAATTATAAATCTATTTATATGTAGTCAATTAATATGTATTTTATAAAGCGAATTGATAGGGTAAGTATTACAATTTGGGATCGTCCATTTTGGTGATCTAGATGAAGGACCCACCTCGTTTGATATCGATGTACCCAAATCGTGGGTCATTAAGGGTTTAGTGAATTGTGGTAACCATGATATATCTTCAAATTACTTAGGTTGAAGAGCATTTTTGCTCCCTGGCCCCTACATGTATACTGTTGGGTTGATTTGTTATTGTGGTGGGGTGTAGAAGTTTACATTATGATATCTCCAGAATTCAGGTCGTCTTTGTGTCGTCCATCATGGTGCCCTACGTCTTGATCTCCTATTAATATTTTTTTTATAACGAATAAAATATTTTCATTAAATAAAGTAAAGGTTCCAATATAGTGGACAAGAAATCCACCCAATGATGGAGCTAATATAATAAAAAAGGAAGAAAAAAATTAAAGAAATGTTGACACAAATTATATCAACCAAGAGCTATTAGCGCTGAACATGGCTTGAGGTTACCAAATTAGTCATCGACTCGAAGCTGTAAGACAAATTGGTTGTGGCACGGTATTGGACGATACAACTTAAAAGAAAATGTTAAACATGATGAGAGATTTTGGTCATATCGTGGCATTGCGGAACCAAATCGGTTGATTTGGTGATGACGACTTGGTGACTCAGGAATGATTCGAATACAATGCAGTCGAGGTGTGCGAGACTCAAAGTTTATATATATCGTGTAACGGTATTGCCTCGGAAGGTGCCAAGTCGGATACGACTCGGCCGACTAGACTAGTATCGGTATCGGCGGATACTGAGCCCCCTTTACGCCTTAGATTTAGACACCACATCCCAATCCCACCTCACAAGGTGGTCTTTTTTCCCCGAACCACTTCCATGCCACAAAAAGTTTCTCATCAATTTCTCAATTAAAAGAGCTATTTTCCTAGAATTCTAAAAAGGGACAAAAGGTAAATGGGAATGCTAGCAAAACTGTTTTTAATAATGTAACTCTCCTTCTCGCTGATAAGCAAGCCCTTGATCTCTTTTACATTTAGAAGGCTCATGATTATGGTGCTAGATACACTGTCTTCTCTTGTTTATTTTTCATCGACCAATCGTTGAGATGACGTTGTGGACTGCAGTTCACTGATTCCACCGGTATGCAAGATTCCTTGCATTGATTGGAGATGTATGAAGAGTGTAGTTAACTAAATTGGCAATGGAAAACATAGAATGAACAATGGGCCTAAACAATGTTGTCTTGATTTGACATGCTGTCCATATCATGTGCTGACCCGTCCCTGATTTTGTGGAGAGGAGATGATTATGCCTTTCTTTGCATATCAGCTCTGTTGGACATATGGGTGTCCATATTTGTACAACAAGTACAGTTTTCTTTAGTGGTCCTGTCATTAAAGAGTTGCGATAATGTGGACAGTAGAATAGAGAATTTTTTTGGAAAGAAAAGTGCACCTGTGGTGTGCTGCATCGCATTATAAACTACAGTGCAGATCTTGAAGATTGTGGATGTGTTGTCGTTCATTGTGAACTGACCGTGAGTTCCATACTGGTGACCTTCTGCCAATTTTTTTTTTCGATAGGAAACATGAAAAGCTTAGTAAAACTTAAATGTAAAACAGTACATGAGAGGACAAGGAGTCCTCAAAATGAAAAAGAAAAGAATTCAAAATAAAAAAGCTATATGGTTAACATAGAATATACAGTAAGGTGCTGAAGCCTCAACATCGGCACACACTTGAGGCTAATGATCCTTACTAAAAAAGAGAGGTATTCCTACAAAATCTTTTTACCTCTTGCTCAAGTTTTTTTTCTCTACTAAATATGTTGATGTGGTGTTGTAAACTGTTACACCGGATTTTTTTTTCATGCCCAAGGCAATGATGAGAGGTATTGATTTAGGTTATAAAGTTGAGTTAAGTAATGTGGAAAACTAGTATCGGTACCTTGAATTCTGCACGGATTGCATCTTGAATGTTGTGTTCTCTGGAAAAGGAATGAGGAGTCTATGGATCATTTGGTCTTGGGTTGTCCGGTTGCTTCAAGTTCCTAGAATAGACTGTTGATGATAGAAGGAAGTCCATAGGTGACTCCACGGTCTTGTGAATCATTATTTATGATTGATTTGCGTGGTTTTGGTAAAAGTAGGAGAGCTAATTGATGTAGATCGTATTAGTCCAATTCTTACACGACCCCATCGTTAAGACCCTTTGGAAATGTGTCATTTTGGCACTCTTGTGGGTCATGTGTCTAGAAAGGAATGAAAGGATCTTTGATGACGGGGAACATTCCTTGGAAGATATATGGGACAAAAACTACATTTTTGGCATCTTTTTGGGCTTCACTTTCAAAAGAATTTGATGGCATTCTTTTATTTTTTTATGAAGGCTAATTGTGTGCAAGTGTGTAGGGACTGAATGGAGGGATAATTATTTTTCTTGTTTCGTATCTTGGGGGGATTCCTTGTCCTCTTTTGTACTTCTGATTAATACTATCTTTTCGTTTTATCCAAAAAAATTGTTTTGTTGGTCTTATAATGTGTCCTATATGTTGTGAGGTAGTACTGAGAGCCTGTGGTAGAATAACCTAATACTGGATGTCTTGTTTGACAGTTTTGTTAGTGTCTTCAAATGATTTGATGCTGAAAATTATGCTTGTTTTAGTTACTTGTTATTTTTAATGATTATTGATGCATCTGTCCCACTTCTTTTTTTTTATCTGTCTACCTATTCTGTTACCTCATCCCCTTTATGCCCACCACCCAAAAAAGAAAAAAATGGTGGCGGTGTTTATTTATTTATTTTTTTTGGGGGGGGGGGTGGGTTGGTGCGGTCCTTTTGATGTACTTAGTGTAGATGTTATATTAATCATATTTGGAGTGATGTTATGCAATCATTTATACTGCTGTTAGCACTTATGCCCGAGTGCCAAATGTAAAGTGATGTTTGCCTGTTATAGGTTCTCTTCCAAAACGATTCACCCGCTACGTTGCTTGCTCGGGTGATTGGAATCATAGGTCCCCTTGGCCAAGACATGCTTGCCAAAGGTCGAGATACATACAAATATTTCACCAAAAATCACATGCTTTATGAACGGAACCAGGTAGAGTCTCTTGATCTTTGTTATTTTCCTCTTAAGTGGTGTTTATTACCTAAATTTAAGTGGATTTGATGTTAATCATGCTTTTGTTTTGATACATAACCAGGACACTCAGGTTTGTACCCAAGGAAAGAAAAAAAAAGGGAGGGGCCCACAGAACCTAAATGAATGTTTATTTGTAGACTAATTTATTATTTGAGCAAATTCCTTGTTATTCCCGTGGGGTATACCTCTTTAGCACTTCATCCCCTATGGTTCAAATTCAATCACAGAGCCCTCTTGTGAACTTGAACCAACGTGCACAGTTGGGTCCATTGACAGGGATGACAAATTGACCTTACAAACCCCATATATACAAGATCAGATTTATGATACATGCACTTTGTGTTGCTCTTTCTTTGTCCTGATCTTGTTCATTCTTGGCTAATAGGTGGACCCTCCATACCAATCAACCAGTAAAATCACCACCAACAATCTCTACCCATGGCCGCCTCCCACTTTTTCGAATCTCTCTCTTTTTGTCTCTCTCTCTCTCTACATATGTGTTTATATATATAATTTGAATACATAATTGATAAGTGGGTTTAACTTAACATATGTTTGTGGAAATTAGTAGTCTCCATGCACAATTACTAGTTGGGTAGAAGGTGACGACCCTAATGAATCGACTATGAAGGTGGCTGTTAGCTACATCAGCGCTCAAATTCCTTCATCGTTATTGCCCTGGCTTCGATGATCAACCCCTGGCACATTTAGGTTTTGATCTTCGGCCATCCTGGTCCTCAGGACCCAACACAAGATTATTCTTAGATATTTCCTTTAAAAGATGCAAAAGGTGTTGATACATCTTATCCACATAGAAAGCTTACCCTCTTCCACACATTACCGGTGGATGCTACAGCCGCTATAACTTTGGCTGCAGGAGGGGAATGGTTAAGTGACACTCTCGACGTCTTGTTTGGTAAACGGGATGTTTACCCAGGCGCCGTAGTCTTGCCTAACCGTTCGGCCGGAGATGCCTTTGTATGGTATAGCAAGCTGTTTAGCTACTTGTATCGATTTGCCACAGTGTGGTTAAATACAATGCAATGCGCTGGCAGCCTCAGCTTGGCAAGATGGGAATGAAGGTCGAGGGAGCAGGGAAGAAAAGGTTATTCACTATTGGCTCACCCTTGTATCAAGCCTTGATACGGCCTATACATGATTGGGCCATGACAGTTTTGGCAAGGTTAAGAATGGATGGTACCTATAACCAGTGTTGTAGTACTTGAGAGGAAAGATTTCATTTCTCTCTTTTGATCTCAAGGCTACTACCGATTCCTTACCTGTTATCCTGTTATCCTGACGTCCTGTATGATTGCAGGGTTGTTTGGAAATCCCTTTGCAACTTCTTGGGCGTTCATACTTTGTTCTATAGTTTTTCAATTATCATATAGTTTATATAATAAAGGCTATAGGTCATCGGTTGTGACGTTTACGAAGGGTCAACCCCTTGGATTTTTGAGTTCTTGGCCTCTATTTTACACATCATATGCTTGTGTGGATAGCTGCTGAGAGGGTGTATGGCACGACGAAGCTTTGCGACTATGCCATTCTTGGCAACGGTGATCGCCGACGAGAAGGTGCATGATTTGATAAGTACTTACCATAATATATAGTTTCAGTGTACTATAACTATATTTAAAGAAAAGTCTCTCATTTCAAAGATTTATTTATTATAAGTCATGTTTTGGAGTTTGCCAAAAGATTTTGGAGCGACGAAGTGACTAGGGATTTCTCTCCAGTTTCTGCTAAGATGCTTCGGTCTTTGGTTGACGCTCTTATGCGGAAAAGACCTCGATTTTATCAAAGATTAGAGATGTAACTGGTACTATGTTTTTGTCTTTGACCTATCGATTGAGGGGTGCTTCTTCTCGTATCTGTGGTGCGCCCTATCGCCCTAAATCTAAGCGATGGAAGCGTCACTCTCTTTGTATGCTTTCACCGTCAGGCGTATTCCCGTTACCATTGAAACTGTGGTTAGCATTCCCAGATTGGGGAGTGTTAACGCCGGGTGTCGCACGGGCCTTCATTCTTGATAGGGCTAAGTAGCAGCACCTTCGCTTTGTTTATAATGAAAAGGAAAGAGAAGGTCTTCGGACATTTTATCCAGTTCAGGGGGAGGACTTTCTTGATCGCCTCATTCTTCAACCATGGGTTAAGATGTGGCTAAAGTCTCTCCGATGGTACGCTGAGGTTAGCCTAAATTACGATGTGTCACTCGAGCCTCCTGTTGTACCAATGTCTATCATTCTAGGAAAAAGGTAATGATTTTCCGGTATGGAGTTTTGTTTCGTTGTTACGACAGGCTGAGAGCAGTGCCCGCCCCCTTGTGTTTGGGGGAGTTGGACGGCCGTTCTGCTCTTCGGGACTGTATTTCTTTTTTTCTCGTTAAAACTAAGACTACTGAAAAAGCCCTATATTATTAGTCAAGTACGAATTTAGACTCTAGGCGTACCTGAGCACTCATGCCTGCAGTCACATCGATATAGAAAGAGAATCGAGGGGTCTGCAGTGCAAGGTCTGTGCAGAACTAGCAATCCCGCGCAGATCAACCCCCGGATTGAAATTTTGATTTCGGTTTCTGGTTTGCCTTTATATGATTATGACAATCGAATTAGTGAAAGTTGTGTGTTTGGCAAACATCATCGGAATTCTTTGAAGGCTAGATCATGGAGAGAAAGTCAACCACTCAAGCTCAAGCCAAACAATCGACCCTAACAAGAGGAGGGGAGCCTTGGGAGCCCTTATGCGGCTGATAGAGGAGTTCTTATTATCAGTCTAGCGTTAGGGAAATCTATTACGGAAACAGGGGTAGTATTATAAAGGGCTAATCAGATGTTCTTCATTTTTTTTGCATGAGTTTGTTGACGTAAGTTACTAGGGGGAGGGTCAATCGTTTCCTTCTTTCACTATTAGTTGATCTAAAGACTTTTTTGGTTATTGATTGCACTAGACTAGAAAGGACAACAAACACACAACTTCCACCCACATACAAGAAAAAAAAACAAGCCTAGTACTCGGAAAAAAGAGGATCCAATTGACATAGCTCAGTTGTTGAAAAGAAAGAAACCCATAGTTCATCATAGATAAGCAAGTGTCTTGCTCGATTACAAAACACGAAAAAAGAAAGAGCTAAGCGCTTGTAAATTTATTCTAGTCTTCCCCCCGGTCACCGAGGGCGACAGCCCGCACAATGAGCTCTTGCTGTTCTTCGAGCAGCGCCCTCTTCCTGTTTTCGAGATAGCGGATTTCATTCTGGATAAAAAGCATACGAGATCGTATGAGAATTGGATCGATAGCAGGCATATGTTCCCAGAACGCACCCAGCATTTGCTCTCGTTGGAGCTTCTCGTTTTCCACCTTGACATATTTCTTGTTTCATTCTCTCAAGTCTTCTAGTGATATCCATGGCTACTCAAAGCTCTTTCTTGCCGACTTCTAAGTTCGGCCCCGTCTCCCTTTGCCAAATAGAGACTGAAAGAAGCTTCTATTTATAGGCGTTGGAGGCCCTTAACCCTTTCTTCTTATTAGTAAGATAGGTTATCTTGGTTCCGTAACATGGATCATTTCAAACCTAGCTTTTCATGAATATTGAACCACATCCACTAAATTTGAGTGCGTTGAATAATTATCCCCGTACGGATTTGAGTACGAAAGACCCACCCCAAAAAGCGAATAGTCTCTTGTTTTTCGCGGGTATCGCCACGCGGCTTAATCCCGATCACCCCCTCAAGAATAGGAGGCAATAATAGAGCGCCCAAGCGAAGCGTCAATTCTGCTTTAAATAAAGGGGAGTACTCCCCTTTCTCTAATAATAAGGCAAGCTTGGGTTCCAAACCCCCTTGTTGAGATAGGACAATCGTTACTCGCCAACTCCGTCCTAGCTTAGGAAAAAGATGTTTGGCCGAACCATTATCTCTTTCTTGATCTGATTAGACGCTTGCTTTTTCCCGCGTGCTTGTTCTCTTGATATTCTTTCTACAACTATAGATTTGGAGCCAATCAGGTATCACCGCGTGTAAAACTGTGTCAGGCGGGAGACATAAGGAAGATTCAACAGATTCTTTTCCAATGAGAACTAGACAGGCGTCCCATATCCCCATGTGCATATAACTCACTTTTGACACTTCCGTCAGTTCTCCACGTGCACATGTCCAAAAACCTTCTAGAACATCGATTCTGTATTTCTTGCAACTTCATCTCCAGAACGAAACATATCGACTCTATATCCTGAGGGAAATTGGAACACGATAATGAAGAACGTAGCTCTACACCCTACGGGAGTTGGAATGCAAGCACGTCATCATCCAAATTTAGAAAACGTGGACTCTAGACCTAGAGGGAAGTTGAAGATATGGAAGTAGAAAGGCCACAAACCTCAATTTTGACTTGACTAACGTTCCAAAAATGCTGTTCACGCTTACTTATTTATGAGCAAAACGGGTTATAAAGAATCCGCCCTTTGAATAAGCGACAAAGAGTACACCGTTCAAACGAAAGACCAAACGAAGATGATGGGCTCAAGATCTTATGATTTTATCCTTAGGCCAACTCACGAGCTGGACTCGAACCAGCACTTCCGAATTAATTACATCTAGCTTTATACCAATGATCGTTATTTTTGGTTACCCGGTTCAGTCCTTTTACCCGACAAACGGAAAACCTAAGGTTTGTTTGATCTGAAATCCATTTTGGTACGTTGTCCTTTTCTGAAATGGGAGAATCAACTTGCTGGTGGATCTCGTGCTTTCTTTTTTTGAGCACTTTTCACAAAGTCAACCTGAAGGAAGTCTCGCGTTTCATTATTCTCCTTCTTGAAAAGTTTCTGAATTAGATCCTTGATTAGACAGTCATAAGAAGCAATAACCAGATCTATAAAGGAAGAGCTGGTTATAAGCCTGTCTTTTATCAGTCTTATTTTCAATAATGAATGAAAGGAATTTCTTATTCACTTCAGTGACGCATTCGCTCTCTTTTGAAGCGATGTCAAATTCTCACCCCTCTTTCTCAATATCTATATCTCATTGAATATTTTATTGATTTCATGGTTTCTATTTATTATCTTTCATATGAAAAACTGAAATCGCATACCGCTTTTGCTTTTGTTTTTCAATGTTGTGTTCTATGCGATGCAAGTTTTTTTCGTTATAGAGGTCGTCATTTTCCTCTTCTTCCATAGGAGAAAGATTCAGATCTGGTAAAGTGTGAGTCCGACGAGTTGGGTTCGAGGTCGAGGTGGAAGGGCCATAAGCCTGACAGCCCGACCTCACTCAGGAATAGACACTCGAAAGGCCATCAATCAAAGAAAAGAAAGAGTCTCTTCCCCCGGAAACTCTCCTCTCGGGCAGCAGCGCCTTGGTCTCGAACTCATATGGTCCATTGTCCTTGAAACTCTCATTTGCGCCTCTGGTCTTGAAAGCAATCTCTTCTGGAAAGCCATCAATCAGGCACAGGAAGAGGTTTGGAACCCTCTCTCTTAAGTCATTTTCAAAGTAAGCTGATCAGTCTTCTGTCAAGTAAGTTAGTCACTCGGAATCCATCGACCAATTAACATTGCCGCAGATGAAGAATCTTTCATTCCGTGCTTTGTCCCTCGAGGTACCTGCGAATGCTTATGGATGGAAACTAGCCTTTCGGTAAGCTCCGGTCTAACTAGTTTCTTCTTGCTACCCTATCAACTGACTGCGCAAGGCACGCAATCTCAAACGTCAGAATCTTTTCTTATCTGATATTCGAAGCAAGGACATGTTGATCTGTCTTTATCTACCAGATAGGCTCATCTTTCCCCCCTCCCCGGATCCATCATTTTCGAGGAGGAAAGAGAAGTCCAATACTATTTATGGAAGACTAGGGATTGCTAATCTGCCTACGCGGGAAGCCTTCTCCCTCTTAGGCTAAAGAGTCAAGATAGCCCTTGCCCTCTAATACATGTCACATTGGATTTGCTAGTATTCCTACGGGGCTTAGTATTCCGAAAAGTCATCCTAATCCATGTTGCTAATGTTCCGGTCTTCAAACAAGAACTAGGGCGCTCGTTCAACCTGACACTGGTTAGACGTGAGGTCGAACATGTCCTGCTTCGCCCTATGGCACTAACCTTAGTGTCCATATATTGTCGCGGGAAAAAGGCGCTCAGATGCGCTTACAGTCTTCTTACTGTATCCTACCAGGAGGACTCGAGGGGCCTTTCGACGCCAGAGCCATAGCAAGACCACAACACTCTTCTAGAGTTTTCTTTCAATCTTATCTAACCATTGATAAGATCTAAACCAAATACGAGATGACACGACGTTGAAAGTCAACCTGACCGTTTTCTCTCCGAAAGGAATCGGAGAGACTTTCTGGCGGACGAGGTCATAGCACCGGAACATCAGACCATATTTATGAAACTTTGAGAATTGGTCTTTTCGATCCGGCCTAAAACACACGGCCGGAGGATCAAGGAAACTCTCAACGGGGATTGAGAAGTCAACTCTCGCCCTGTACTGTACCACCACGCGCAATAAGCCAAACAAGGCTTTAACCCGAGAAAAAAGCTTTTCTGTCAGCAAGCCCCCCTAACATAAAGGTAAGGGTCCTCATCGAGCTTCAAATCGAGATCAGTGGCAAAGCGCTCCACATGACCCCAATCCGGAGAACACGAAGACACAAGCATGTCTCGCACCATACCCATATGATAACAAGTGATTAATATTCCATCTGGGAACCCTAACCAAACCTGAAATGGGAGTGGTAAGATACCACCGGGAGAGAACGCCACAAGGATGTGGCGATACCAGTGTCTATTATAATGAGGACTCACGTGCTCTGGTTTTGCAGAATATCTACGAAAACCAGCTTCACGAACTCTCATAGAGAGCTGCAGAGACGTCAGTCTAAGATTTCAAAACACCGGCATCCATGCAATCGCATGCCTCGCCGATCGTATCATTTTGACACTAATCGGGGATAGCTCACGACCGTGAATTTGGAATTTCTTCGCGAACTCAAGACTGCCTCTATCAGAGAGCAAAGACTTCGGTTTTGATCACCCCCAAGCGATTGATGACATCCTTATAAACGTCCGCAACCGCGGCGTCTCCGATGACGATATTGTCACCGAGAAGTGCGTATTTACTAAACTTCTTTCCCGGGTATACCTTGTAAGCACAATACCACACCACAAAGTGATGTGATAGAGCGAACAAAGGCCAAGACGAGAGGTACCCTAGAGGTTGTGTCTTGTAGAAAATCGAACAAACATAGGCGGCTCCCCTGGTACGCGGGGGGCTAGAAAGGCATTCGTTCCAAGCCCCGAGAACACCCAAGCAAAGGCCGTCTCTAAATTGAACAGCCCTTGTATTTGATTTTCACTCCCTGAAACGACAACGGAAAACAATTCGTTGCCGCCGACAGATCAAAAGAACGCAAAACGTCCCATTTTGACAAGTGGCGGAGAGGCCCTTTGCTTGACTTGAGCTCGAAAGAGGTGGGCAGCCAGCGGCATGAATCACTCATTTCGGGTTAATCTATTGGTCGAGGGCTTTGTTATCAAAAAGGTAGTGGGTTCTGTGCAATTCGAAATATGAGCGCATTGGCTATTTCCGATGCTTCAGCCATTTCGACACCTTTCTTGGGTTCTTTTTTTCCGGGCGCTCTCGTAGTGGTGGCCATATAATTAATAGGTTCCCTCGTTCATAGAAGGGCACGATGATTGAATGTATAACCCATTCTTGATTGAAGCAATCATCAAACCGTAGGAGGGGACTGCTTCCAAAATCCTTCTTCTCCCGCAGTTGGGTAAGGGGGAAGTCAACTACCCTAGAGTACTACCCGGCGACTCCCCTTGCCCGCTTTTGCCCCGATGAAGGCGTTGGAAGTGTTGTTGATTGTGCTCCTCGAAGAAAGAAGGTCAGGATTTGCAGTGGAGTAAGAATCCTCCATGGAACAATGGTCTAGCCCCCCCTTATATATAGCTAGTCGTTCAGTAGTCTTAGAGAGCAGTTACTCAATGGTCCAGTTGTTTAGCCCTACTAGCGGGAGCCAAGAATGAATCGCAGGCAGCGCACAACATAAGTCTCTAGACTGCTGTATAGCCTATCGTCAAGGGCCCGACAAACGGAACTCAGAGCTGCTCAACACACCACCAGCCCTTGGCACAACGATCAGGTCAAGCAAAGCACTCCAACCAAAAGGGCGCAGCACGCATATAACTCCTTGATGAAAAAGAAAAAGCAGAGAGTTTTCAAGCTCTTCACATTGTGAAACTGGAATCCTTGAATTGCTTGTGATGACATTCGATTTCGTTCCGTCGGCGATCCCGTTCTCATGTCTCCTTGTGTTTCTGTTCCTCTAGCTAAGCTAGAGCAATATATTCTTGATTGAAAGAATTACATAAATAGAGTTTCAATTCTTCGCGTATTAGGAACCAGCCCGGTGTTTAGCTATGTATAGGATTTTTCTTGGGATGACTGATTGACTGTAATGGGAATGAGTAGCCTCTTACCCTAAACAAGCGAGCACAATAGAGCTTACAGTTGTCGTCTATCTTCGCTCGATCACCGAACCGTCAGTCTTAACTCCTTGAATCAGTCAGAAAATAAGTAAGTCCATCAATCTGTAGTGGAATAGTCTCACCAGCCCGTAGAATAGTCCAGTAGTGGGTGAGTAGAGTCTGTGCTTTGGTGGGCACCGGGCACACAGCAAGAAGTAGCTCCGTCAACACAGCTCTAGGCGCACGCAATCAGCTCAGGAAGAGCACAACTCTAACTAGCAAAGCGAGGTGATCAGCTCAATTGAAAGAGAGGGCGCGGTGGGCATCAAATTCTTCGATTTCATTTCTTGATCGGATGAGATCGGAAAGGAAGGGCATTTCAGCTTCCTCACGAAATCATCATCGAAGACCTCTTCCTTTGCGTATTGCTTGATGCGGGATCGCTCTCTTGTTGCGTCCAATAATACTGCTTCTGGGGACAGCTTTGGAACTGGGGGCCTACTTTTCCTGCTTTCTTCCCCAAGGATGGCTGAAAGTGTCTCCCCCTAGTGTGCCTAATATTACTTTCATTTTTCCTACTCTTTCCATTTTCTTTGTTTCTGTTTTGAAGTTACCATTTTTCGTTGCCCTAAGAACTCGATCAATTGAATTATCTTTTTTGCTCCTATACTTTTGGACTTTTGCTATTCCAAAATGTCCTTCTTTCCTTTGTTTTTCCTTCTTTTCGTTTATCGGGTTTCTCTGAGAAAATTTAATGAAAACCTGATGTGATGTGTCTTCGTTTATTTTCACGGTTATTGGCCATGTTGTATAGTCGAGAGTTTGACTAGATTTGTTTCTCCATATGGAGAGGCATCCTCCTGTTTTGAAAGGTGTCAAGACACTAGTGCAATTCTGACCATCATCTCATTTTAGGTATTGCCCTCTTTCTTAGAATTCAACATCTCTGATATGTTCTGCATTCATAATTCTTCCTATTTCTCCCGATTTTTCTACATAAATCAAAAATCAATAAATTGTAACCACAAGTTGAAGAACCCAACAAATTTTGTAGAAACCAAAAATTCCACCTTCTCAGTAAAAGCCAAGACAAACGAAAGTGATCAAATAAGCACCACCTCTCAAGGTTGGTGAGAGAGAAATCAATTCTGCTGGCTTGTTGTCAAATGCCGCTTTGTATAGGAGACCTGCAATATAGTGACAATGTCACTGGTAACTATAAGGATATAACATTCTTTCAAGCACATTGAAAGTTAGTCTTTATTTCTCTCGTTAAAAGTTTTATACATTAAATCTTGTATGTGCAATATAATATGAAGGTTGGTTACTATTTGTGACGGTTGCATCAGGGTTGGATATCTGCTTGAGCTAGTAAAGTAAAAGACTGCTCCTGCTGCAAAGTTTACCACTCTGCTGTCGCCGCTGCAGTAAGCGCTGTTTCTATCCTCGCCAAGTAACCAAAGCCAGGGATCTAGGTGGCAATAGTGAAAGAAAGAGAAGGGGAAGAAGCGTTTGTATCTTGGAGTTGACACTTGGAATGATTTAACCTGGCTATTAACAATTTGGTCGAACACATGACATCAAATAAAATACGGAAGCTCAAATAAAAGGAATATAGTTGCTGCTAATTTGTTCATCAATTGATGTTTATTCAGATCGCATGCTTATGCATTTTAGTGAGAACTCAAGTAGCTTGTGAGTTTGTAGAGAACTTTCATCAAACACCTGGGCAGAATGTAATCAGATACAATCTGGATCTTCCAGACAATTAATTGAACATGTTGTGGACGATGTAACCAATTGAACATTGTAAGATGTTCATTAAACACTTATGGGGTAGTGAGTAGAGTGGAGTAGACAAGAGGAGAGAAGAGGGCTGGGTACAGAACTTGAGAGAAGGAAGAAATGGGGAAAACCCCAGAAACATGGGGCATTGAATGTAAAGGGAGAGAGTAGAGAGAGGCAAAGAAACGGGAGAGATCCTTGGATTGAAAGAGAGAAGATCAAGAGATCCAATAGAGAGAAGAGAAGAGACTAGGGAGATAAGGAAAAGGGAGGGAATGCGAGAAGGGAAAAGTGGAGATAAGCTCATTGGAACATTCTGAAATTTCACATCTTGGAGGCTTCTCCTGGTTTGGTAGCTTTTAGGCTCTATCATAACATCTTGAAGATATGTCAAAGTTACAAAAATAACCCCCTAACTAATTGTAGATACTTATGAGACCTTCACACTCACTAGTGGATACTCACCTCTACCCTAAATCTAAAAGTGCAACAAGCTTATTTAACGAATCTACTATAAGCTCACGTGATGCCACTATTGTTTTCTTTTACAGGACCACGTCACGTCATGTAAGACCTAATAATAGGAGCTGAAATGTTGAATTTGAAACTGGTTTATTGATCTTTATTATGGGATTCATTAAACTTTATCGATTCAACTTGATTAGTTTGTTATAGGGTTTGTTAGGCCAAGTGGTTGCTGCATTTGACCATGGGATTATTTCCATCTATAATGGGGAGCGTCGTTGTCAATGGGCCGTGGGAATTGGTGTATGGAATTGTATTACGGGAGTTCTAGTGAATTTTCTGATAGAAATCAAAAGTCAAAATTATACTTGAATTCTTGATGAATCGAAGTTTGAGTTTGGATTAGTTGATCAAAAATGTGATTTGGAATTTACAGTTGCAGATGTGGAATAGGCTTTTTCTGTGGTATTCCAGCTGGCTTGAATGAGTTTGGATTAGTTGAGCAAAATGTGATTTGGAATGTATAGTTTTAGATGTGGAATAGACTTTTTCCATGGTATTCCAGCTAGCCTCTCTGCCCTTTTTTTGGCTTCTCATCTCCCTTCCTTACCCTCTTCTTTCTTATTCGCATCCCAGTTGTTTAAATATTAAAATTAGATATTTGAAGAGGTACTCAGAATCAAAAGTATTCACAATTTAAAAACAAAATAGAATATATAGAATATAATTTCAGGAAAATTAAAAATTTAAATAGGTATGTAGTAAACATAGGAGGTCAAGAGATTAAATAACTAGCACTTGCGAATAGTTGGGGGTCAATTTTCCACAAAATGTGAGATTATAGATGATGTAATCATGGAATCAAAATATGATGGACAAAGTGGAGGAATGCATTGGGTGCAATGTTGTTAGTATCATATGGTACGTTTCAATATGTTGAAAACAATACATTTCATATGGTACGTTTTTACATTTTCTCTAAACTGTGAACCAGCGTCATCTCGTAGACTTTATTTAACATAATAGGAAAGGTTTTTTTCTTTTTGTTTTTGGCCGATCTCAAACAAATGAAGTCTACAATCATCTTCTCTTCATGCGTTGTCATCTTCTTCTCTTGCGATTGCGATTGCGATCTTCTTCTTTTTCTTTATGTTCTGCTAACCTACCGAACATTGTCTATATCTCGATCTTTATCAAGATAAAGGGTTGACTCTCTTTCGATCTATTTTGCTAACACGGATCACATGAAATGATGTGAGTTAAAACATATTGGACACTGTATATTTATATATTGATACGTGGGTATGTTTATTTATATTTTTTTAGAATTGAGCATATCTCGCAATGCTTTGACAACCTTGATCGAGTATATTATGTGATTGAGGTATACCTCTTAGGTTGAGGGGGTTAGTTCTAGAAGACGAACATTAGACCAATAATGCTTTATAGTATTGGGGAATTGTAAAACAACAAACTCAAAAACTAAGTGTGACAAAAATAAGAATGTTAATATGGTGCGAGATAAAGTCGACAGAAATGATAGAGAAGATCATGAATGGAAAACTGTAACGAGAAGAAGTCCAGAATAAAATGGAGCATGAAATTGTCAAAGCTTCTTCAGTGGATTTTGATGAGAATGGATACTGAACCCTTGAGGGTAGGGATTGTTATTTTATAGGAGTTATATCATTCGAATTTCTCGTACATTTTCTCAACCAAAAGAAAAAGTAGAATTAGGAATAAATATATTTGTGAGTAAAAGTGACACCAATTAAAGTCAAATTAATGGAGACACAATTGTGGCGGTTTAGACGTGTTTATAAAAGACCTATTACTGGTGAGTAAGAGTGATACAATAACTACCAGTGGTAATGTGAGGAGTAAATATAGATTGAAGTTAACTTTGAGTGAGATAATAAAAAAGGTGTAAGACAACTTGTTTTACAAGAGAAAATATGATTCTTGATAGAGCCTAATGAAAGAACAATAATCTATCTAATCTTTTTCTTGTTGCGTGCACTTGTAGCAGTCATAGCTTGGTCAACGCAGTAACCTCCTTCTGTTTTGGTAGTCGGCTCATATAAATTAAGTTATTTTCAGTAGTTCAGTTGTGTTGAGCTTGTTGTAAGGCTAAAGCTTAGAAAATATCTTCTTTCCTTTCCTTATCTAGTTTAGGGAAAACAGATTTCACAAGTCAAGTAGGCAAGTCCAGGATCAAAGAAAAAGAAAAAATTGTTCTCTTTTGGGCTTTAGGATCAGAGAAGCAAAGAAAACCGTAGTTACAGGGAGCTTTAACAGGGCACCGACCCATAGTCAGAACTCTTTTGTTTTCTAATGTAATGTATTTTTTTTTCCAAGTATTTCTATTACTTTGTGATACATAGCTCAATATATTGACAATTTGTATTGTATTTCTGAGACATTGGCATTACTCCATGGACTATGATTCACTTCATTATACTTCCCTCAATGGTAGATTATCCATCCATGTTTCAAGTGGGACCCATTATATAATAGTGGTTGCCCTACTAATACACGGCGAGTGACAAGACATTGGGAGAAATTGAGGAAAAGTGCATTGGATGGTATATAACATTATTCTTTTTAATTATTGGAAGTGTTTCCTTCTCTGCAGGATACCAACAGATTGGAGTATTTAATTCCCAAAAAGACGTCCCTAAGGCACCGGTTGCCAATGGGGGACCAAGGCTTCATCGACTTTGTTGCTCATCTACTTGAAATTAACCCGAAGAAGCGTCCTTCAGCATCAGAGGCTTTGAAACACCCGTGGCTATCCTACCCTTATGAGCCTATATCGTCTTGAACAATTGAAGACACTCCTTTTGTCGATTTGACCTGCATGAGGTGGTGCTCTTGTGCTTGGTTTTTTGTGTCTTGACGGGTGAAGGAACCTGGCTATCTGCTGACTGAAAATGCTTATCTATAAGAACTGATCTTCAATGGGGTCTTACTCCTTCCCTTGCGTGCACAATTGAAAAAAAGGTGTTTGGTTTTCTCTGTGATCTCTCTCTCTCCCCTTCCCCTTTTCCGGTTGTATCTTTATTTACCACAATAGAGAATGTAATCTTGCACGCATTGTGTAATTCTAGGGCTTATTTATTATTATTATTATTTTTTTAATTTTGTTGGGTGGTTTGGTGGAAGGGAAATCTCCAATCTTGTTGTACATGGTGTGCTATAATTTTTTTAGGTGGTTTAAGTAATTTGTGAAATAGCTCCATATCTAATATTGGTTGGCTTTTTGTTTCTGTTGCTGCACTGACTTAGTTTGGGGCAGATATTCATACATCATTAGAGGATTTTTTTAATGTTGCTCCGGCTTTGTAGTTCAAATGAAATTTTAGTTTGTGGATGCCTATTGATGATGGGTTTACTTGAAAGGCAAATACACTTTTAGTCTCAACGTATGTGTTTAGTGTTTATTTAGTACATAGTCTTTCGATTGTGTCTATTTAGCCCTTAAGGTTCTTAATTAGTATGTAAGTGGTTCAATTTTGAACATTTGTCCAAAAATTGCCAATTTTGGTCACGAGTCAATTATATGGTTCTTAATTGTGTTTATTTGGTCCTTAAAATTTTTATTTTGTGTCTATTTGGTCTCGCGTAACAATAGGCTTTAACAATTTTGTATCAAATGGACACAATTGAAAGATTAAAAATTAAATAGACATTACACATTTTGGGGACAAAAAAGTGTATTTTGCCCTTCTAAGAACATCTTTAATCATGAGTCAAATTTTTATTCAAATTTAAATTTATATTTAGGTAAAAAATTTAATTTGATATAAAAAAATTTATGAGAATCTCAAATTTATAGAATGAGAAATTTAAATTTAAATGAGGGTAAATTTAAAATTAAATGAGTAAAAATAATCATTGAATCTTTAAAAAATGGAAAAATTTCACCATTAAAAATTTGAGTAAAGATTTGAACCTTCCTTAATTTGAGTAATAAAAAAAAATTCTTTTGATTTGGTATAAATTTGAGTAAAGACTGGAATAAATTGTTTAGATTTTTTTACTCAAATTTAAATTTGAGTCCAAATTTAAATCAGAGTTGAATATGTCCTAACTTTATTTGTTTTGCATTCATGGATCAATTTTAACAATATTCGCCAACTTGACAGTTAACGTCAAGATACGATACAATTAATCAAATGGGCGGATTGCCATCCCAAGGATGGGACTGACATTCCCCATCTCCTAATATCAAGGATATCCCTTGCACTTTCATTAATTGCACCCAATCCCTTTAAATGAAGATGCTTGTTTCCAATAACACAGGAGGAGGTCATTACAAAGAAAAATGCACTGTTATCAGCAAGGTTTTTTTTTGTCATAATACAACAATTGCCTTGGCAGATGTAGGTTAACTGAAATGACATTTATATAGAATGGTTGAACGGCAAAATCATCCTTAGATGAAAAACCTAAATGAAATAAAATCCTATTCTCGGACAACCTAAAACTTCTTGTCAAACACGCCAAACCCACCCACCCACCCACCTACCCTCTTTTCTCATCTCTCTGCATCAATACTTTTCCCCTATATAATAAACTCTTAACTCCATGGCACCATCACTTCAAGGTTGCAACTAGCATTACCATCACTGCATTGCCTCCACTCAACAAAAAACAGATAAAGACATTGACATCTAACCCTTACAACTACATAACGCAAGCAATTGGTGTCTCGAGTCACGAGTTTAGCAAGCTGCACATGATTTAAGTTCTTAGTTCAAAATTCAAACAGACACTTCTTGGCTCACCTCGGACTGTGCTTGTCCTCCCTCAAGCTGTGTGGTGGAGCCAAGCTCAAGTTGGTTTAAACCCGGCTTGGGTCAATTCATTTTCAGCCTTTGGTAATGTCAAAGTCAAACACTCACAAAAATAAACAAAAAGATAAGACCAATTATGTCACCTAAAACAGCAGTTACAGACTAAAATCCTATAATGATGAAAAACAGAGAACCCCAGAACATGTTATTTTTGTGTGTGTGTGTGTGTGAGTGTGTGCATGACACAGTATGACCTGGAAAAACATATATGGCAAAAATTTCCATCTCCAGACTACGTAAATCAAAAGTTCTCACATAATAGCCGTAAATGGAGTTGGATTGACAAAGAAAGAAAACTGTGAAAATTTATTACAAGATCCAAGTTGCCCAAGAAAATCCTTCTATATAATGTATCAGAAATTAATCGCTCAGTAGTCAATAAGGGGACAAAAAACAAGAAAGTGAGCCATCCTCAACATACCTAGCATCTTGCTCACTTGGATCTCTTGGCTGACGAGAATAATGAACACTTATCACAAAGTACTGTGTTTGAGAAGATGAGCATACCACACTTACTTATAGTGCTGGGAAACCTCCCATACTAGCTTATCCATGAATTGGCATTTCTTATCAAATCCCCAACCTGGGTTGCTCTGCATTACATAATTTAGAAGAAAAAGAAAAAATCAGAACTTTTTCATAGTCGTATTATTACTACAAGTTAACTGCTATGGAAGTATTTTTTTTATAAGAAATAAAATTTTCATTAAAACAAGATGTAGAATAATAGTAGTGGACAAGGAATCCACCCCATGAAAGGATAAAAATATCAAATGAAAGCAAAATACATCGGAAAAAGTTACTTCAAAATGGGGCATAAGAAAACGTTAATCTAAATAAAAGCCGCTATCCAGTGAAGGTTAAGGGAAAACAACGGTAATTGTAAGTATTTAGAGAGTGACTAAAAGAATTCTTTCACCCTCAGATTGAATTCATTTTAAATTTGGATGCAATTTCATAGAAATTCTTCAAAAGCTTGTTGAAAGAGAGAACAAAATCTAATACATGAGAAAACTTGAAGAATGATAGCAAAAGAGATAAAAATGGAGATTTCATAAATAAACCAGTCACACATCTACAAGAACTATTGTAGTATTAGTTTTGGATCCTCGTCAAACAAGGAAACTAGGAGGGGTCAATTGGGAACAGACCTAACCTCAAGCATTGTTTGCACAAAATGGCAGTTCTTATATTGAAAATTACAACCTTGTAGTTTTTGTCCGAGCTTTTTACTATTGTTCATTTTTGTTTCTTCTGTGTGTTCGGACACCATTATTTTGTATTGAGACACCTTCCATACACTCTTCAATTAAGTTAGAGAAGTCAAGTTGATCTTTTTTCTTTTGGTTTGGATAAGCAGGAGAAGTCATATTTGTTCAATGAACAATGACAACTCTTTCTACTGTAGAATCCCTAAAATCCATTATATGTGAGTGGATCACAAACAAACACTACAGATTTAAACAGGTGTAGTAATCACATGCATATTATCTCTGAGGTCACAAGCAAGAGAGTGCCTGGAAAAAAAAGTGAGCCTACAAGAAGCACTGCATTGAACATGTTAAGGATAATTTGAAGCAGACTAAGCATAAAATCACAAGAAACCTGAAGAGAAAGAACAGCCCGCTCAGTAAATTGCTTTACAGAAGCAGGGGCGCTTTCTGGAAGAGTTTTTGCAACTCTTTCTAGCTCTTCCTGTTGTCTCTTTGCTGTTACTCTGTCGGGTCCACTATAGTAATCTACGAGCTCTTTCAGAATAGGGACTCTCTCCATTGTTTCTTTCACGACTTCCTGGTAAAGTGAAAATGGCAAAATCAGCGGCAAATGAATAATGATTGAGAACAAAGAAATTATTAAAGGTGTGCCTTCGATTATGGCTTAGCCAAAAGAAAACAAGGGGGACAAGAAAGACAAAGGGTACATAAAAAGAGAAGGTTGACTGTATTTATTCATATGCACCGGGAAGGTTCTAGATTCAAACCCAGGACCACCATTATTGAGTAGGCTTTCTTTGGAAAATCTAATAGTGGAAAAGAACAAAATACAAGAGCTACATAAGGTAAGGATTAGTCATATTCGAGATCATACCATAAGAAAGATCATAAAGGGAAAAGACATGATAAAAACTTGTAGCTACCATAAGCTACTGGTCATCCACAGGTAATGATCCCAGAAAAACAGACACCGATCCTTCAGAAATTCATTCATGATAATCTAATTACGTTCATGTTTCAAGGAAGAAAAATTAAACTATCTGGATTATTTTTGCATAATATTCTACAATGCAAGAAGAAATCTTTACCAAGTGTAGCACACTGCAAAGGCGGGCATGCTTCAATTACCTATGATGCCCATCCTCAATATCCTCGTGTAAGGATTATCTCATGAGGTGGGCCCAAGGATTCAAGTAAGGGCTGCTAGATAACCTATTTTGTCCAATCGATAAGGCTATTGGCCAATTCCTGGGTGGGCCTACAATTTACAAATATCGGCCACTACGGAGTCATTACTGTCCAGAATGGTCTGCTGCAGTCGTTACTGTCCGGAATGGTTTGCTACAGCCATTGCGCCATTGTAACAGCCATTACTGCTAGCCAAAAGTAGAAGTGGCCAACTAGGTGACTTCAAGTCAATTCTTCCATTCCTCCACCTACCTCCAACTCCAAGCCTCCGAATCATCTACCACGGATCTATAGCTTCTCAGTTGAATTTGACCAAATATAAGAAAGAATCCCTAAGTTTTGGCATTGTTGTTCATCTCAGATCTAAGTTTTTTTTTTTTTTTTTTTTTGGTATAGGTGAAAAACCGACAAAGGAGTGTCACCAAACTCATTAGAAACCACATCCCAAAGAGATGCCTAGAACTTTACAATATTCCATAACAATTTCTTTTTGTCCTCCTCTCCTTCAAAGATTCTACAGCCACTCCCCATCGACACCACCCAAAAAAGGGCAAAAGAAGCACATCTCCATAAAGTGGAAGCTTTTTACCACAATCAAATCCATCAAAATAATCATAAAAAGTGAAACACAACTGCGAGGTGTAACCCACATCAAAGGTATTTTTTAAATTTTTTTGAAATATTCTTCATGATTAATAAAATTGCACATGACATATTTCATTTATTTAGTATTTTTTCAATTCTAATTTCTCAGATCTTTGTTGTATGAATTTATTGAAGTATTGAGTGACTTGGGTATACTATGGCGCTTTATTTTTTATTTTATTTTTTTTATGACTTGCATTTGTAATTTAAAGTTTTAATTTTTTCCCTAATATCAATGTTTTATGTTTAACGGTTTCAATTTAATCCATTGTTATGTTATGTTTTACTTCTTCCTTAATTTTGACATTAACTTTTTATAGTTAATATAATAAGTTAAAAAAAAATTCTAGACATCATAACTTTAATTAAAATATTACAGATTGAGATTGCGACAAAAAATATGCATATCTTAAATTATAGGGGGTTTGCTAATAATTTTAGAAACTTCACGACAACTCCATCAGATTCTCGTTACACACATTGACCGATACTTTAGCATTATGTGACTCAATACACAACTTACAACCTTAATTTCAATAGAACAATCATGGAATGTAATTTCCCGTCCTCTCTTAAGATATTTCTAGTCATAAATTTAACAAGGAATAAATCAAGTTGAGACATAAAGCAAGAAAACCAAAACCCTGTGATGGCGTATCCATTGGTTGGTTGGACCAATGCAATCGACTTTAGAAGTCTAGGCGAAAGACTAGGAATTTTTGGTCCAAAGGAAAGTGTAATTGGTAATTTATTATTATTATTTAATTTATGAGTATTTGTTTGACTAGGAGTTTTAATTAGAGTTTAACTAGGAAATTATTATAGAGTTTTAGTAGGATAAGGATTTGAGAGTTTGATTATGAAACTCTTTTAGTATTTTAGTGGGAAAACAGTTTTTATTTTAGTAGGAGACTTGGCCTATAAATAATGGTGTAATCCCAACTATTTTTAATTAGAGAGTGATATAATAAAAGTGGTTCTTCGTAGAGAATTTATGTGTTTCTTCACCGATTCCTTACGAGGATGAAGTAAACCCCTTTCATCCTCTTTTCTTTCTTCTTCTCTTTCTATTCTGTGATTTCTAGTCCTTCTCGTTCTACATCAATTTGATATCAGAGCCTAATTTCGATTCGTACTAAAAAACAATAACCTGTTCATCGCGGCACTGTTCACCAATACTGTTCATCAAAGCAAAATTGTAGCAACATCCCAACTGTTTCAAAAATTACAAAAATACCCCAGAAAATTTCAGAAGTTGCAAAACCACCACCAGAAATTTTAAAAATTTCAGAAATTACAAAATCTTCCCCTCAGTAGTTCTAGAATTACAGAAACAGCCCCAACATATCCATAAAATTACAAAATTATCCCCAAAAAATTTTAAAATTTTCTCTTGATTATGATGATTTCCAACGTCAAATTAAATGCTAATGTGAAGGCTTTATCTCAAGCACAAATTAATTCACAAAAGGCCATGAATGAGAGGATGGATTCACTAGAGGCGTCTATAACACACTAAAGGAGATCATGGAAGCTTATCTCTTAGATAAAAAGGGTAAAGTAGTGGAGATGCATGCAAATCATGATTCCTCCTCATCGGCTATCAATCAACGACAAATGCTCGCACAAGTCCCTCCACCGCAAGGCCCAATTCAAGAAGACTCAAGATTGTTTGATTTTGATAAAGGGGTTAAATTAGAGGTTGGAGATTTTCATGGGGACAATAATCCCGAGATATTCCTTGATTGGTTGCATAGCATTAAAGGCTTCTTCAGATGGTATCGTTTGACCGATGAGAGGAAGGTATTCTTTGCAGAATCAAAATTGAAGGGTATAACAAGATTTTGGTGGGTAAAGTATCAACAAACTCACTTTGATAGATCATGGGATGATATGAAGACTGCTATGACCCGGTACTTTATGCCTACTAATTATAAGCAACGGGCTCATCTACAGTTTACACAATTGAATCAAGGGAGTATGTCTATGGCGGAATACACAGGAAGGTTCTACAGCTTAGCCACCCGATCAGAGTTTCCATGGATTGAAGATGTAATGATTGCCATGTACTGGCAAGGTCTCAATTCACAAATTTTTACGGGTTTAGCTGCAAGTAGGCTTTACATCATGGCAGATGGAGTTCAGGTTGCCTATTAGATGGAAGATGAGTTGAAAAAAGATCTTATATGAGATCTTCTATGGCACCTCCAACCCGGATCGAGAGAACTATTGTAGATGCAAATCAAGGTAAGTTCACTAATAAATCTCAAGAGAATACTTTTATTCCCAACAAATCATCTCGGGCTAGTGTTAATTCTTCTTCTCAAGGGAGTACTAATTCTAAGACAAGATGTTTTAATTGTCTTGATTTTGGCTCTCTCTCTTTTCAATGCCCCTCAAAATCTATTGCTGTGATTGAAAAGGAAGATTGTAAGGTACATAATGATTCTGATGAGCCAGAATTTAAAATAGAGATAGGAGAATCGCTTGGTGTGGGTGAAGTTAATTTTGATGATTTGGTTGATAATCATTTTATGGGTGTTTTCTGTCTTATACTTATTGCTAATAAAGAAGTTGCTAATTGTGAGTTTATTCATCGAGAAAAAATCTTTCAAACAAGAGTTTGTTGTAAAGGACAGATATGTTCGTTAGTGATAGACACGGGAAGTTGCACAAATGTGGTATCAGAAGAGGTCGTGAAGAAGTTAAATTTGAAAGTTGAACCACATCTGGAACCATATCATTTAGCATGGATTACTAATACGAAGCTAAAAGTTGATAAGAGATGTCCAGTTACATTCACCATTGGAAGTCTTAAAGAGACCGTCATGTGTGATGTATTGCCTCTCAAGCTTTGTCATATACTTTTAGGGCGCACTTACATATGGGATCATGATGCACAACATGCGGGTCGTACTAATACCTATTCTTTTGTAATTGGAAGAAAAAAGTATCCTCTTACTTGTGCTACAAATGCACGTACACTACAATTGAAAAAGAGTTCATTGTTGATTCAGAGAGCTTCTCCATCAGATGGTATTCTTGACCCTTCTCCTTACTCGCCGGAGTCGAGTTCTTTTCAATGGTGGAGAATTGATGGCGCAGTCATTGGTTGATTGGACCAATGCAATCGACTTTGGAAGCCTAGACGAAAGATTAAAAAATTTTGGTCCAAAGAGAAGTGTAATTGATAGTTTATTATTATTATTTGATTTATGAGTATTTGTTTGACTAGGAGTTTTAATTAGAGTTTAACTAGGAAATTATTATAGAATTTTAGTAGGATAAGAATTTGAGAGTTTGATTATGAAACTCTTTTAGTATTTTAGTAGGAAAGTAGTTTTTATTTTAGTAGGAGACTTGACCTATAAATAATGGTGTAATCCCAACTATTTTTAATTAGAGAGTGATATAATAAAAGTGATTCACTGTGGAGAATTTATGTGTTTCTTCACCGATTCCTTACGAGGATGAGGTAAACCCCTTTCACCCCCTCTTCTTTCTTCTTCTCTTTCTATTCTGTGATTTCTAGTCCTTCCCGTTCTACATCACCTTGTGTGGACTATGAACTTGGAAATTATAAAGGCATCACTCAAAGTTCAATTGAAAACTCTAATGACAGACACAAAATATGAACACATTATTTGTATACTAGGAAGCACAAACACTTCATTTTAGGCAGTGTCGGTGTCAGACATATCTGGTATACGAACATGTGTCGAACACGTTAAAATGAGTGTACGATTTTTTTATTAATTAATTTTTTTTTAGGACACGTTAGAGACACGCGGCCAACACGCTGGGATGCACGTTTTGAGATTTATTTTCAATTTTTTGAAAACTTCTCAAAAAAATTTAAAACTAAGTTATTTTTGTAATTTTAAAGGGATACAAATCACAATCATAAGATAAAAGAAGTTATAGTCATTACATTGAACATAAGACATGAATGTCCCATAATTTTGGATACGAATACGAATTTATATACAAGTGAAATAAAATTTTTAATATGAAAATAATTTGAGAAAAAATGAGGTTACAAAATTAGGGCTCTTGAAAATTAATGTACATTAGTGTTACGAAGTGGAATATTTTTTAAAATAAAAGTTGTAGTAGTCATTAATTATTAGATCATGGATATTAATGTTGAATGCGTATCTGTATATCTTATACTGTACTTGTTATGCAGTGATATCATGATATGAATTTTTAGAATTAGAAAAATGATTAATTAAAAGATTATTATGATAATACTTATTTTATCACATGATTATATATATACATATTATTTAACATATCGTCAACAAGTTTGTGTCCTACTTTTTTGAAAAAATGAGTGTCAACGTGTCCGTGTCGTGTCGTTTCGTGTTCGTATCTGTATCCGTGTTCGTGCTTCTTAACTTATACATGTAAGGCCATAAGGGTGTAATATGATCTTGAGTAATTTGGGGCCAAATTTATGACATTACTTATACATAAATTGTTAAATATGTCAAATGATCTCCAATGTTGATATCATCTAAATCAATTTCTAAACAATCAACATGTTCATGAAGATATTCCATCATTTCACTGAATTATTAAAAACCAAAAAAAAAAATAATACACAATGTTAGTCATGGAAAATGAGATATACAACTATTGCTTGCTTAGCGAGTATGAGGGTTTTCATAAGCATAGATCCACGTACTACATGGGATGAGTGGGGATTGTCACAATCTAATATAACATCATATATAGGGGAGCTTTTTTCACAATGATTAGTTGGAAACCCTATGTTATGTGCACTACATGGTTTATTCAAACATTTGAGTATCATTTCCTATATTATGTACAGCCAAATTTTGAACTTAAGTTCTTATCAATTTATGTGTAAAGCATGTCATAGGAGTCCACCACAACGCATTAACCTAAAATGAAAAGTTGCCAACGATAAAAAATTTTGCATTTCATTGCAAATGTTAAGGGCATGTGGAGCCCTTCATCTCGCATCGCGTAGTGAAGTATGTGTGAAACATAAGTGTAGCTGTTAGACCTTCATAAAAAAATGTGATTTAAAGTAATGTTGGCCGACCCCAAAAAACAAACTATTTTTCAATGATGGGTCAAAGACGTTAAATTGGTATCGAAGTCAAGATTGCCTCAGCCTTCCAGGGGATGTAGTCAGCAGAAGAATGGGCCACCCAACGAAGGCACCACAATGTGTGCCATTGCAAGGCATAAGGTACAATTTGTAGGGGGGACGCCCTTTGGATGTGGTATTGCACATCGAAAACGATGTCCAAGACTTGGGCTATATAAGTGGCTTCTTAAAGGACACACAAAATGTGAAAATAATCATGAGCCTATGACAAATCGAATAATATCTTACACTTTGGGAACAAGAGTTAACAAATCATATTGGGGCCAACACAAATCGAAAGTGTGGGGATTGCAACTGTTGAGATCGACCAACAATCTATCGATTAGACTATTGAGGTTGACCAACAAGGACGTTAATACAACAACATGGTACGATTGTGGAGCTTAAAAGTGTATGTAAAGTGTTTTAAAAGTATGAGCTTTAAGGCTACATTGTACAATGCATTTGAAGTCTTGCAAGCTTAACCCATAGTGGACATACTGTACAACGATATGTTCATGGCATTGCAACATATTTGCAACTGAAATAAAATCTGGACAATAGTAGTATGAAATTTTGTATGCTTGTGCAAGAATGGAAGTGCAAGGCATATATTTGAAGATCTTGGTCCAGTTCCCAACAACACGATTTATTGCTAGATCAACGGGCCAAGCTACTAACATGTATGTATAGTAAATATACACATGATAATAGATGCACAAAAATATGTCATATTGCCATGTACTCTGTTTAACCTTCAGCTTAATATTTTATTTGGTTTTTATGCAATTTATAATTGATACTTGACTTCCCCAAAAGATCCACTATCTTTCTCGGCAAATACACAGGAGAATTGTGAAATCTTGAGAAGTATCTTCAGTACCTAGCTCACCTCTCAACCATACATGAACGCTTCAACTAATAGTGGTCATAGGCATAAAACACTCCACCCCATTAATTATAAGAACTTAGACCACAGCTCCCTAGCCAACTCACAGGATCAGAGCAGGTGATTAACGATCTTCTTTGACAACCCTTCTTTTTCACTTTAGCTACATCAATAGTTAATCAAATTGCCTATAGAATTCAAGTTATCAACACTAAAGATTGCCTCCAATCGGTAAAGAGTAAGAAAATCAAATAACAATGTCCTAAAATGAATAGATACCATCATACCAGACATGTCAAATAAATGAGGATTGATTCACATTAGAGGATAATAAAAAACAAGGCATAATGTAAGAGCAGCTTGGTGTACCTCCCACTCTTCTTGATTTTGAATTCCTTCATATGCCATCAGGAATGGCTTCATCTTCTCAAGTGCATCTTGAAGAGAAATGGGAGGCTTCTCATCGATATCCGGATTCGTTCCAAACTCCTCCATCAAGTACTCCGGCTCACATTCTATCTGCAAATCAAAATGCGTATACAACTCAGTAGATATAGATCATCATTGAAAATTGCCCAATCAAGCATCAACATATGAGGATCAAAATGATTTACCATCATATTAGTGTGGAAGCCATCCAAGTATGCATCTTCCAGTGGCGAAGGCAACACTCTGCCACTCATCTCTTCAAATCCTTCAACCAATTTATTCATATTCTCAGGTCCAAGCCTCTTAGCCAGTTCCTCTCCATTAGTACCATCCCCAAGGTAAAGCCCCGACCCGTAGTCTTCCTCTGCATCCCGACCTCTTCGTTCTCTCCCCCCTCTCCAATCCCGCACACCCCTTCCTCCTCGTCCACGTCTGCCTCTCCCTCTGAATCCTCCTCTTCCCCTCCCACCATCCTCTTCACCGCCACCCCTCGACAATATTCCTACAGCCTTCTTGACAGCCTCCTCGCGGCTTAACCTCGGGGTTTGGGTAGAGCTTACACTGGCAATGCTCTCTCCACCTCTCCCTCTACCCCTAAACACAGATCTTTGCTCCGGGGCTCGAATGTGCCGGTTTTCTTGTTCAATCTTCTCATCAGCATTTGATGATTTTGCAGGCTTCCCACGCCCAGCACCAGATAAAACAGACAAAATACTCGAGGGCAGGTTGCTAACTTCTGCATTTCTAACCCGACCGGGGATTGGGGTTTTCGGAAATGATTCGGAGGCATCTTCCTTGAGGAAGAAAATGGGTTTTTTAGGTCCTCCGGAGTGTTGTGGGGGTGGTTCTTGTGGGCGAGGAGACGCGGATTGTGACTGGAACTGAGGTGGGGTAATAGTAGTATTAACACCGCCACCGCCGCGGCCACGGCCAGGGCCAGCAGTGGTGGTATTACTATTCACACCGGACACGAAAGATGAAAACGAGGAAATAATTGGAGGTGAAGGGAGGGGCTTACCTCCTCGGCCTTGTCCATGGCCAAATCCAGAAGGGAAAGGAGATTCGTCTTCGTTCTGGGTGATTCCAGGGGTGCTAAATCGTGTGTTGGGGTCATCGGATCCTCGGCCGCGACCTCTGCCACCACCGCCGCCGCCGTCGGCAGAGGTGGAGAAAGCAGAGGGTGATGATAACCGGAGTGTGTACTTGGTGGCATTTCCGATGGTGGGGTTTGATAGTTTGCCCAAACAGCTTCGTCTCATGGTGTGGATGCAGAGTCGATTACTCTTTCCATATATCGCACAGCAGTACTACCCCTCAGTCGATTGGCCTAAGGTTTAAGGAATTCGGAGCCCCGATTTCAAAAAATTTGATACTTATTTTTCTTCCTTTTTTGTAAATTTTAGTTAATTATAAAAAAATGATAATTGAACTTAGACCTAAAGAGTATTTTTAAATTTTTTATATTTAAATTTAAATAAAAATAGCACAAAAAATTTATTCAATTTTATACCTAAACACGTATGTCAAATAATTTTTTTACATAAATAATGTGAAACTCAAACATTTATTTAATCTTCAATGGTGATATATTATTCTCTTTTAAATAACGATTGTCATATTTTATTCTGGGGCAACTCGAGAGAGCGAGTTCTAATCTTCTCTATTTGGCTTTTTTCTCTCATTTCTTTTCTAAGTTATAAAGAAACAACTCTAGCGAAATCTAGCAAGTATAGGGTGGTCCCTACTAGTTTTTTAAGCTTAAAATTAATTAAAAACCAATTTATCCTATGGAATACAAAGAGTGTTGCTCGAGTCTGATAATGTCTTAAATTATGTTTTAAAAACACAAAATAGTTTTAAAAGATCTTTTCGTTAAAAGACATCTATAATTCATACACTGATTAATCTCGATATCATTTAACCTTAATCCTCTTTAGTTAATTACCAAGGGATCATCTTAGATATCTAGAACATTAACTTTATCCTAAACTTGAAAGTACATTTGGAGTGTGAATAATCTAGTTTTAACATTTTATCTCATTTTTTCAACGATGTTTTCGGATCTTCATCATTGTAGCATCTTGACTATAAAATGGGTTAAGATTTATAATATCCTCCACAAAATTAGTCATTTAAAAAACATATGTATAACAATATCCTCCTTTTGAAAATTCTACAATATAAAATAGGGTAGATTTCAATAAGCCCATCGATAATCTCAAATAGACTCATTCAATGGTTATTAACATTTTTTTTAAAATAATTCACATTACACTATGTCTTTAGGTACAAGTTACCCAAGTTTCGTGATAAAATACATAAATAAGAAATTAGGATTACAACCTACAAATTGTTGAAAAAAACAAATTGTAAATCTAATCTCAACACTCCTGTAAACCTTCTAAATCTCTATCTAAATACAAGATCTATTTCATTAGATGTAGCTTGGATATCATAATCCTGCACACCACCTCTCAAACCAAACCCTTTGTGAAAAATATGTTAAAAAATTAAATAAAACAATCGCAGGTATTGTAAGCACCAAGTTATACATAAGACATATTCATTTATACATTATGTAAGTGCAAATATGAAACATATTAAAAACTATTCGCCCTATATGTTTCAGAACCTATTGATATGACAATATCAAACATATCTAGTTCTCTCTTTTAGTTGGTGTTCGCAAATAAAATAACAAGTATAAAATAAAAAGAGCAAAATATGTGACTTCATGTCAAATTTGTAAATATACTTCTCCTGAGTATTAGAACAAACTCTTTCTTACTATGTTCACATGTACCTTATGTAGGTTAGTTAAGAGTAAATATCTCCGATTACTCTCATAAATGCCTAAAATATTTTCTCTCATTTTTTTTATCACAAAATATCAATTCAATAACGACCTATGATAATCATGGCACAAAATCAAATTAGGTAACATATTTTTTTCTTATTTGCTAGAAATGTCAATCCAATGCTAGAAATGTCAATCCAATGATGATCTATGACAAGCATGATATAGAATCATGGTATAACAAGATGACAAAAATAATAATTCAAATGGAAAATTACACTTCAAGATCCTCAACTATCTTCCTATCTCATATTGCCCCTCAATTGTCATGTTTTTATATTGCACCTTCAACTATGTTTATTGGTTTCATGTTATCCCCTCTAATTATAGCATTTATCACATTGTACCTTCAACTATAGTTATTAATTTCACATTGTCCTAATTTCATAGGTAAAAAAATATATATTTTCCCTACACATGTATCTACAATATATGTATATACTACATGTAAAATTTAATTTTTTTTATAGAGAGCATGGACACCCAAAGCTCCTATTACACCGACTTGTGAGTTGGATGACTCCGCCGGCAGGGTGGGCTAAGCTGAACACCGATGGATCTACCCAAGGTAACCCAAGTCCAGCAAGGATGGGAGGACTCGTTAGGGATCACTCGGGTCGGGTAGGTTTGTGGACAAGTGTGGTTGCTGAGTTATGGGCCCAAAGGGAAGGGCTCAATCAAGCATTACAGTTGCAAGTGGACTACCTCCAGATTAAAAACGCAAATAATAATAATAATAACAATAATAAGGACTAATTACAAAATGATCCCTTTAATTTTGAGTCTTGTTCAATCAAGTCTCTCTAGTTTTAAAATTAAACAATTTACCCCTTCAAGTTTTAAAATTGGGAAAAAGTCCAGCAGAAAGAAAATTGCTTTTACGCTTCACTTAGAACTGACACCTCCACAACACGCGGCGAAGCGAGCGCTCACAGTCCCAACAACACTACTGCTTCGTCTCTTTCTATCTGTTTCTTCCTCCTCTCTCCTCATCGTCACCCACTTTTGTTGCGTTCTCACTTGCTGCTATTACCTCCGTTTTCGTCTTTCTTTTTTGTCTTCCTCTTCCTCTCTCTTGTCTTCATCTGTACCCTTTAACAATTACTCCTCATTACTCTTCCTCTTTTTGTTTCGATTCCTCTCTCTCTCTCTCTTCATGGACCGTTTCATTTCAGCCTGGGCAAGCAAAAACAGAGCAAAAACTCAAAAAGGGTATCAAAATTATGGCATATTACATTTAATTTATCTCTCGTAATAAGTAGATAGACTACTAATTGCTAAGATAAAGAAATCATGGAATGTAGTTTATTATCTTTGATGTTTCATTCAATCCCTTTAGACTCTCTATTTGTTCTTGTATATTTCTCATATTATCTATATATACATATACATATACATGTGTGTAGATTAATTACTTGTCTGGGTTTTGGGATTCCGTTCATTATTTGATTTCTCTTAAATATGGTGAGTAAATCTCTGTCGCTATTTTCATTAAAGGTAAGTCTATGTTTGCCTTCTTCCTCATTTGGAATGGCTATAACTATAAATTTTTACTTACCATTTTTGAAAGTTTATAGTAAAATTGAAAGAAAAGATCAAGGTTTGACTCTTAGTTCTCAATACGTTTTTTTCTTTCTTTGTCTTCTTGTTATCTCCTTTTTCTTAAAGGCAGTGGTGTGGATTAGTATGTTTGAGTCGTATATGTCAACCATAATTATGTCTTAGAGGTAGCTCTGTGATACTAACAACATAGCAGAGTTCTGCTTTCTTACCATCAGAGAGAGAGAGAGTGTGCGCGTAAGTTTTGGGTGATCATCAAAATGCCGTTGCATTCTTCATCTTCATATGTTGTGCGCTCAAATCTCCAAAGCTTTCTTCATTCAGTGACACCCATTGTCCCTTCAAAATCAATTCCCAAGGTACTCTGTGCTCAAAACTAGTTTTTTTTAATCTCTTTATGTGTGTATGTGTGTGTAACACACACACCCACACACATGCACCTAGCAGCTGGAGTAAGGTACTGGAATTTGAATCATCTGACATATATTCCCATTTGCCTCAATGCCTGATTTTTGTGCCAGTCACGTAAGAAGTTGATGGTGAATTCATGTTTCCATTTCTATATCTGAATTCTATTGGGATATGAATTTTTTAGAGCATGTAGTTAAAATATAGGGAACACAAAACCTTCAGACTGTAACTGATTTTGTTCTTGGTCCTGCATTCTCCCTTTCCCCCTCCCCTTACTCCTCAACTCAACAAAAAAGGAAGGCTTGAATTGGAATTTCAATGATGACCAATGTCTAAATTTTGTGGGTTCTCAAAATATGTTATGTTCTCATGTCTTAATAGGACATTTCTTTATTATTAATAATTGTTAAATAGTATGATATGTCTGATCAACTTGTTTACCTATCAGTCAGAATAGAAAATCCTATTTTTTTCCCATTTTGGGTTTTTTTTTTGTTTTATTTTACTAAATTCAATTTTTTTTTGGGGGATTGGGGGTGCTCACAGAGCTGCATGCATAATCTAAACAGCCTATGGCACCCAGTCGGTAAGGATTCGATTGAATATTTCAGATTGGGAGATCTCTGGGGATGCTATGAGGAATGGAGTGCATATTGTGCTGGAACTCCTGTATTGTTGGACAACAGTGAGAATGTTGTGCAGTATTATTTCCCTTCTCTGTCTGCAATCCAAATCTACACCAACAAATCTGCAACTTTTACGTACTCGAACTAATTCTCTCTACTCCCATTTTAAATACTTTGACAAGGCAATTGTTTTTATCTATCAGTGAGAAAATAGGTGAAATTGATCGAGTTTGCTTTTTCTCTTATAGGAATCCAAGGGAGGATATTGCTGTGGTGGAATTTGAAGATGAGTGTCGGAGTGATGACAGTGAGAATGAAAAGTTCTCAAGGACGTTAAGTAACAATTCTAGTAGGACTTGGGATGCCACTTCTGTGGATTCAGTTATTGATCACGAGGGTTCGTGGCCAATAAGGGATCGCCTTGGTTATCTTCACTTTCAATACATTGACATGTACTCTCCATACGTGAGGATTCCGCTCATGGACAAAGTAAATAATATTTGTCGTTTCACGTAGATACTTCTTTCCATGTTTTCTGTGTTGTCGTTTATGTTACGACCATAAAAGGCATATCTTTCCTGTAAGAGTTAAATCCAATGGAGGTTGTTTGTCATTCTTAGTGAATGGTATTTTTTTATGGTTTGTCTGATTCAGATCAATGAACTCGCTCAAAACTATCCGGGGCTTATGACGTTGAAGAATGTCGATCTATCTCCTGCAAGTTGGTTGGCCGTTGCTTGGTATTTCTGATTCTTTGTCTAAATATTCTGGTGGTTGGACTTGTTCATAGTGTTCTCTTGTCTATAATACCCTTATACTATTGTTGTCGCTGTGGAATACTATCCAGAGTCACAAACATGATACGACTTAAATTTCCTATTTCTTTCACTGTGACATCTACCTTATTAGTAAAGGGCGAGGAGGGGTTGGTTTCCACTCCTAAATTGTCCATAATACCCTTTGTTTTTTCACAAGTGACTACCCAGAACTCCCTTTTAAATCCACTTAAACCCCTCCACTAATGAAATGTCAATATTTCCCGGCATATTACACTGTGATATATTGAAGATATCTGCTAGATGTGCTTTAGGACAAAAATTCACATATAATGAACGCATTTATTGCTTACAAAAATGAAAAGAGAATGTCTTTGTCGGCACCTCAAAATTATTGTTGCCTGAGATGAAGTTCCTGACAGATTTTGTTCTCATGGAAACCGCTTTTTAATTGTCGTTTACCTTTAATGAAGGTAATGACCAATATTTTCAGTTCCCATGTTGAACCACATTGCCATATGGAGAGGTTGAACAAACTGGATGTTTTACCGTTCATTATAATCTTGAAAATGAACATTTAGAAGCTTTCCTCAAAAGTTTGTTGTAAAATGGTGAAGTGCACAAATCCTTGCTTAGTGAATGTCCTTTACCAGAGAGATAAATTGTAGTGAGCAGTGTAAGAGCATCTCCAACAGATCATATAAAACTTTAAAATAGCTAAAATTTAGCTAATCAAAGACAAAAATTATTATCCAATAGAATATGTTCAGATGCTCTAAAATAACTTTTTACTACAGTGATACTCTAAATATAGAGCATCACTGTAGCAACTTGTGTAAATACTTTATAATTTTTACTCCCTCCAGTTGTCCTTTCCTACCTCTTTTGTCCACTCTTTGTTTTTCCCTCCATTCTCTCTCTCTCTCTTTCCAAGAGTCCTAACAAAGGTATAAAATATGTGAAATAATATTTAAAAGAAGTAGTTAAAATATAAAAAATATGTTGGAGTGTGTATTGAAAAAGTGAGTAGCTAAAATACAAAACCTTGTTGGAGATGCTTTTAATGCAAGACTTCCATGCCCATGGGTCACTGATTGATGTCTTGGTGTTGTTCCTGAATCAAAGCAATGTACTTACTCAGTGCTCTTTTTTTGTTAAATAGGTATCCTAATTATAATATTCCGGACAAGGTAGCTGTGAAGGAGTTAGGAACATGCTTCCTCACTTATCATGCATTGTCCTCATCTTTCCAAGGTATCAACTATTTATTGTTAAGCCTGAAGTCTAAACTTCAATTTATGACTTCCTGAGTTGGCTTTTCATTTGATGAGAATTTGATTAAAAGTAGTGAAAGCAAATCCAAATACATCATCATTCTTGATGTCTCACTTCCTGGTATCATAGTCTTGCTGCAGCACACACATTGGTTGATATGCAATACCCCTGGAATTCTTATATGAAGTCTAAAACATTATTGGCATTTCAAACATTGTTTGCATTACTGAAATGAATATCATGGTTATCTACTTTGATTTATGCATGATGCTTGAAGTTCCAAGCTTTCTGAAGTAGTTGTAAACTAAAATATTGGAGTTGTGCATATATGAGATATCTCATATTGTGATGACTACCTGATTTTCTTCCTTGTTTGAGAATAGAAGAGAAAATTCAGAATGTTGAAACTACTGAGCAAAAGCTAAAGGAGATGTGGTCCAATGGGGCATTTTTTGGCTGCTATTATGGCTATGAAACTCCTTACCTAACTAACATATAAGTTGTGAACTATTAAAGATATAAACATCAAAACTGAAATCCTAATGTCCAAAAAAATAATTTACATCATTACATGTGGGTCCTTAGGTTTTGTGATTTGCTTCTTAAGCTTCGAGCAAATGAAAGAAGCACCAGACCAGATTCTGCAAGGTAATAAGAAAATCTGTATGCATATTACGGACACAAGTTTTGTCCTTTGATACACGTGTTTACATATATATAATCTAAATTAATAAAACACTAATTAACCCTGCAGGTGCAATAATACCACCCATCACCTTAGTTAATAAGCATGATAGTAAACCTGTCTCATAACTTGTACCATATATAATACTTGTACCAATTGTTTGTTTCTGAGGTTATAGACAGATATTAAATCCCACACCCACATAGCATACATCACAAAGTATGCCAGTTGGGTCTGTTTACAAATACATATACCATTAACCTGTTATAATAATTCCTCGCTTAACATAATATACAACCCAACAAAAAATTATACAGTTCCTCAACCAGTATCATTTACTCATTTAAAACTAACTACATAACAAACAAAATATTATACTAACGTTGTACAAAACTCAACCCTTTTGACAGTGGACTGATCTGTGTCTCTCTCTCTTGTACCTGAAAAGGAGAAACTATAGGGGTGTGAGCTAAATTATGCGCTTAGTGGGTATATATGTCGTATATGAAATGAAAATGATAGTAATACACAGAAGTAGGTAAATACTACGTAAATACACATATCAAACAACAACATCAATCTAATTCTAAAACATTCACAAGCCATAACACATCCGTACTACCCCTCATCGGGTAATTGATCCCACATGGATTCGTGTCTCTCGAACTTTCCAGAAACACCATACACACACCATTGCACGCCCAGTGATCAGGCATCGACGCTCCTGTCTCAAACAGTGCATCACATTTCACAATACACAATACACAATGCACAATACAAAACATTATCCAATCACATAAGTACATAGCACATAATCTTGAAGAAATGCTATTAAATTCTATCATTTAACATCATCTTATAATAGCATTTTTAAAACATATAAATATATACACCCACCTCAAATATACCGATCTACAGTCCTTCGGTTCTATCGGTGGATCCTTCCGGTGTTTTTGTATCCGTCTCTATACCAACTGTCCTACCTGTTCCACCTAACACATCAATATTAATATGTTTATCACATTAAATAATTAATCACTAATGCATGCAAGATGATTCAACCCAAAGTGCCTTGATAACCCCGGTTATTGCAATATTCACTCACATACTAGCACATTAGATTTAGGGATCATATTTCTTCCTCAAATCCTCAAATTCACTCACATTAATCACAATTAAGATTTAGTAGGTCAAACACATTGATCGGGGTTCCTTTTCTACACATTTCAACCCCAAATCTCAAAAATTGCACTTTCGGCATTTCGTACATTCCGCACCAGATATTATATTTATTTGGATTTGAAGTTTACATTATCATATCAAGCATCAATTAAAAATGTTGCATGCAAACTTTCAGGTCATTTAGATTAAAATTCACTCATGTAATAATAATATTTAGAAATCAGGGTTTCGGCATTACTGACACTCATTTTCAATTTCTATTGTACTTTTCTTTTAAAACCACTACACTTAAATTCACATACACATTTAATCAATACCAAATAGCCCCTAATTTTGTGTAACACTCTTAATAAAATCTGTTTTGAACTTAAAATAAAACAACCCATTATTTTAACATAAAATCACCCACTAATTATGTTTAATACACTTAATTTAAACTCATTAAAATATGTTTTGAAATTACACTAAAACAGTCCCACACATATACACAAATACTTAAAATTAATCACACACACACACTAAAATGAACACACACACCCTTACCTTCTTGTTTACTTCTTACTTTTAATTTGACATGGAATCCCTCAAATTCTTCTTTCTTTCTTTTTTCTTTCTTCTTCCTCTCCTTTACTCTCCCTCACCCATGGTTTGAACACACTAGAACACACACACACCCACTAGTTTGTCTTTTAAACACACTAAAGTACACACACATTGTTCCATGAATTACACACACACTTTACTACACCTTAAGACACACATATACACTTGGCACACACACACATGCACTTGACTTTTCCAAAATGACCCGCTACCTTAGTCTTGACACATGTATAAAGATATTTCATGAAACTTAATAATTCTATTTGCCTCCCCCCCAAATTCTTAAGTGATTTCAAAATCAACCCAATACTATTTCCGTACACAAAATTTCATCTAACAAATAATTTTACATAATTGCAATTAATCCACATAATTATGCTAATGTGTATGCAATGCATGATCGGGTCTCACATTGAAACTCTCAGCACTTAGCTTAATTTATTGGAGTTTTGAACATAGGATTGGAAAGCACTATGCTTGGACATTGTAAGCACTGAGCTCAGTTATTACAAACACTATAGCTTGCATTTTTGAGCACTTAAGACATTAGTTGTTCTAGGCGATGTATGTTGAACTCCATTTTTTGGTGTCCTAAAATTCTTTGGTGAGGCTTAGGCCGGAAAACATGCCCTTTAGGTAGAGGTTTATAGAATGATTAGTTCAAATTTCTAAGGTGGATATCCAATAGAGGAAACAGTGGACTAGTTTTAACCTTTTAGCTCGGCGGCATGGCTAAGGCATGCGGGTGGCTTGCCCAATGGCGCCCATGCCTAAGCCAGGTGTGGGTGTGCTTGGGTAAGCACTCCCGTTGTGCAAGATGGCTCCCTAAGGACTTGATTGCGTGTCGAACTTGGTAGCAAAGTATGAGAAATGCTAATTGATAATGTTGGCTGACTCATGCAGCAGTACTCAAGCACAATACTTCAATCTTGCAAGACGTTTTTGATTGGTTCAGTAACATGTTAGTTTGTGGGAAAACCACTTCATACCCTCGAGGGCAGATCTGATTGGTGTCAGCATATCCTAGTAGTTGGGAATGTCAATTGCATTGGATAATTTTACCAAAACTGGTTGGTGCCAGAATTGCCTAGATAGTTGAGTTGTAACTGCCATTATATGTTTAGCTCGAGTCTGCAGTCACCCAAGAGGAAATCAGGGATGTTTAAGGCCCTTAGTTGGACTCCTTGTACTTGCTGAGAAGTAGAAGGTTGGGACCTTTTCCTGTAAACTCGTGTGTCTGTTTTGTGTTTGATATATTATTTTTGTGTGCGTTTGGCTGAGATTGAGTGCGGGATCTCATTGCCATCACACGACAAAAATTCTTGTGAAATTTGACCTTTGTGACAACAAGCCTGAGCCGCCAAGTGAGTCGCTTCCATAGGTTAAGGAATATAAAGTCAAGGTATTTATGCCTCGCCAAAGTATTTCGAGACTGAACAAAAAAAAGCAGGCAGCTTGACGCCTTGAGCTTAATCCCGGAGGTGTGCTCCAACAGTGTCTTAACAAAGTCGCCTCACCTGAGGCCAGTTGAGGTGAAGAGGGTGTGCCTGGAATCGCCTTAAGCCTATGTGCGAGTATTATAACAGTGGTAGGAATGACTTTGGTTTGGCTTGAATGTTTAGGATTCAAGTGCTGGTGTCCTGACCCAATTACACTGATCTGCTAAATGTTTGATTGTATTAGACAACCATTCATCTTGCATTGCTAGGGCTTATAGCTAAAGGAGGTCATTGAATCCTCGAGAGAGGGGTTTTACTTCTGATGGTTTTCTATTGTTTTGCAGAGGTGTTGGATGTACCGCATATCTTGTTAGTTTTCAAAAGATCTGGCTCAGATTATGGGTGCCATATTGTTTATGCAATGTAAGTCTCTAGGAGAGACGATGATTTTGTCTTTCCTACTGAGGATGTCAAATTGTTGATGCTAGAAATTGGTCAGCAGTTAGTAACTAGAAAAGGCAGTTTGAGAGTGACCTGCAGGGTAAAGATATAGGGAAGCAAGAAAAGAAGGACCCCAACTCTGTATTTTTATTTATTTATTCTTTTTTTTAGAGGAGGGGGCATCCGACTAGACAATCAATAACAATTTGTAAGGTAAAGTAAATGGACTAGTTTTAGGGTTTCAATGAGCTACCTTGGAGGTGAATGAGACTTGACTTCATGTAGGGTTGAGTAGGCATGATCTTAGGCGGATCTTATGCATGCAATGGTGCGGTTATATCCCATCTTCTTTTTTTTTTTCCCTTTCCCTTTTAGGTTTTGAATTGGCTGTTGGAAAACCTTCAAAAAATTTCTGATAGAACTTAAGTTCATTATTCTGACATGAACGGCTGCTTTCTTGGAACTAATTAATAGGGGCTTAGTCAACTAACTATATATATATTAACAAATATAACATGCAATATTTATAAACATTTTAACCAAACTCTTTGTTTGTGAAGGCCGAATGAAAATGAGTTCTTGATTCAACAAGCTTTCTCTGCCTTTACGTAGTTTAGTGTCATTTAGCAGCATTCTAAATTTGATTTTGTAGATAATTGTAGGGTTGTATTATTCATTATGGTCTTTAATGAGGGAGAAATTTGCCCAATGCGGTTGAAATGCTTCCATTTTCTGGTATTCATAGAGTGCTTTTCGCTCCCTCAAATTACTATTTGTGTTTCTTTGATATGAACTCATGGGTAGAACCTGTCTTTGAAAATAAACTTGCAAGGAAAGGATGTCCAAGAGTTCATATACACGTCTTGTCTTATTTTTAACCGATGTGGGATTGTAACATTCTTACTTGGTTTTCTAGAGACTGAAGATGAAAATGATGATAAAGATATTGGAAGGTGTTTCTCTCGTTCTAAAGAAAAGGAGAAAGGAAAACGCAGGAGTAAGGATGTTCGTATAACGCCTCTTCCTCCCTTTGGGCTGGCAACTTACCGGATGGAAGGAGAACTTTGGGTGAAACCAAACACACATGATTATGAGAAGCTAATTGATCTTTATAGTGCTGCTAAGTCCTGGTTGAAGCAGCTCAATGTCCAACACCATGACTTCAACTTTTTTACTACCCACTCCACCATAGATTTTGATAAGCATATCTAACTTATTTTGTGCTTCAGTATCTCGTTGTTGCCTATAGGAAGACTCTCTCGCAGCAGTCCTGGGCGTGCCTAAAACCTGAGCTTTTCAAATGTGATGTCAAAAGTACCTCTCTCAGCCTTTTGAATGCAAAGTTAATAAGTGCTCGTCTTTGTTTGTTTATTATTATTTTTTTTTCAAAATCATGAAGATGATGTAGTCTTGAAGAAGTTGTTGGCCCTATCTTTTTTTTTTTTTGTTATGGGGGGTGGGGGAGAGAGAGAACTCTTTTGGTTGGTAACTTGTGAATAAGTTATATGACTTTGTACCTTTCTTCAACTCTCCTTTTTATTTTATATTTGCCTGTGCAGAAATAGTTCCTCTTATAAGGCACACACTTTTTGTTTATTTACTAGGGCGAATTTTACTTTGCATTTTGAAATATTTTAAGTTTTTCACTTTACACTCTCAAAGATTAAATTTTATATATTATATCCTCATTGTATTAAAAGTGTTACAATGTGGCCTTTCCGTTAGTTTTTTGGTTAGTGTCAATAATTTGGTAGAACACTTTTGATATATTGAAGATGTAATATGAAAAATTTAATTTTTAAAAGTGCAAAATAGAAATTTAAAATCTTTTAGATGCAAAGTGTGAAAAATCTTATTTAATAATAGAAGTAAGAACTTCATTGAAATAGGTAAATAATAACATAAAATAGGGTGTATGAAATGGAGGAAGAGAGCATCCAACACGAGTCAGAACATTAAGACCTAGCATTAGTGAAATCTCGTGCATTGAGTCGTCTTTTTTAGACTTAATCTTAGTTAATATGTCTTCCGTGAAAAGATTTAGGTGCACACATTGTAGTACATGTTTAAGCGTACCTGACACTTGAACTATGTCGGTGGCACATTTGTATCATGTATAATAACAATAGTAATAGGTATCTATAATATAAAACATGATAGATTTATTTGACGGTTCTAAATAAACTCATTTAATGGTTACTAATATCCCTCTTAAAATTATTCATATTACACCGTATTTTCAGGAACATGTTACCCTTAGTGGTTTACTAAAAGGTGATTTTTTAGGATTTTCAATTTTTTTGTTCAAAGTCACCTAAATTTTTTAAGAATTGCCTAAAAAATTTAATTTTTTAAAAAAAGTAAAATAAAAATTAGATTTATTTCCTTAAGACAATATATTTGATGCCTTGATATGAAAGTAGGTTTTGTTGGCTAAAAATTATTTGTTGTCTGGTTTTCATAGGTTTTAATTTTTTATTATTTATGTCAAAATCGAATTTTTTTTCCCTCGAGAGTTAGATTTTGCTCAATTCTTTTAGAATAATGCTATTTAGACTTAAAAATTTGACCTCATTTATTAACCTGATTTACTATGATTTTTGGATTGATTGTGAGCCCAATCAAACATTAAAACTTGCTCTTTATTTAACGATTTCAACGAAATCACATTATCAAATCAACAAAGAAGGTTAGATTTTTAAAACCGAGTAGTATTATTCCTTGTCTTATAATCTAGGTGTAGTTTGAGGCAAGAAAGAGAATGAGTGGAGATAATTTAGGTTTAATTATACGAGTGGTCTTCAAAATATGAGGTTTGTTTTATTTTGATCTCTAATTTTTTAATTACATTGTTTTAGATTTTAAAGTATTGAATATATTTCTATATAGTTTCTCAAGTAAACAACTTTTAAATTATTAACGATTTTATATTATAAATTTGTCACATGATACTTAAATATAGGTAAAAAATTAATTTGGGTAAATCTTGACCAAATTTTTACCCAAATTTTGGTCAAAGAGTTATCCAAATTACACATTTATGGTCATGAACTATCGAAATTTTGATTACGAGTTATCCAAATAATTTTTTTTGCCTATATTTAAGTATTACATGATAAGTTTATGATTAAAAATCATATAAATATATTCAATACTTCAGTAACTAAAATAATACAATTAAAATATTAAAAATTAAAATTAGACAAATTTCATATGTTGAGAACTTCTAGGATAATCGCGACAAAAAAAAAAAAGAAGAACTTCTAGGACAATTAATCTAGTAATTTATTATCCAAAACAAGTCATAGTCATAATCATAATCACCCTAACTAGTGTTGTCCAACAATAAAAATGGAATCCCACGGTGGAATTTAACTAGTTGTCCAATCATCTCCATTCCTCATACCTATCTATGAAGAAAATAATGTGTTTTGCCCTTTGACCAACTAAACCCTTCACTTCCTAGAACTTTCCAATGTGATGAAATGGGGCTTAGGGTCCCACTAGTTATAGGAGCAATATGGATAAGTTCCAAAATTAGTTATATGACAATCTAGGGTGATTTTAATTCTGGTTACTTTGTACTATTCAAGTTGGATCAATTTTGCTTATGCGTCTTTGTGTTATGGAGGGAGGAATGTTCCTATTTTGTAATATCTTTCATTCAATATGATATGTTTTGTTATGACCAATGGAAAAACATAATCATTTCTATCAAAAAAAAAAATTAGATTGATTTTACTTAAGGTTGATATTTTTGAGTCACCTTAGTCAAAATTTTTGAATTAATATTGTTTTTAGTTTAGTAAGGCTAAATTTGATATGATTATTGAATAACATGTGTGATATATTAATATCTACTTCTTTTGTTTTTACTATATAGAAGAATCAAATTTGATGAGGTAGAAATTCAGAAGTCTTCCATCGAAAATGCTTACTTCTTGTTATTAAGCTTATAAATAAAGCGATCAAATTGTGCAAGAAAAAGACTTGAGAAATATTCTACCCCAAAATGCTTATTTGTCAAGATGCTGAATTATTAAATTAAGGGTAAATTATACTTTTAGTCTCTAAAATATGCGTGTAGTGTATATTTTGTTCCCAATCTTTTTAATTGTGTTTATTTTCTGATTTGTATTTACGTGCTCGAATCATAAACGTCTGTAAGAAAATCAATAACGGCTCTGATTACGCACGCAATCACATGAGACCAAATAAACATAATTAAGAACTTTAGGGACCAAATAGACATAAATTAAGAACTTTAAGGATCAAATAAACAGAAAATTAAGAACCATGTGATTGACAAGTGATCAGAACCGTCAACAATTTTTTAACGGATGTTTGGATTTGACCACATATATACAAATTATAAACCTTAGCGACAAAATATACACATTTAATCATGGTAGTCATTCACAATATTAGGGTATGGTGTGAATGGGTATAAGTTAGAGGGAGGATTTAAACTTCACTCATCATAAGAGATAGTTTAAATCATGTATTTTTCGGTCTCTTATTAGATTTTCACACTTTCAAGTATATCAAAACTATTTTCCTTTAGCTTTCAAAAAAAAAAAAAAAATTATTTTCGATATCATTATTTTTTGACAAAATCACCGGAAAAAAAATGAATAAATTGAAACTAGAAACATAAAAAAATCTTCTTTTTTAACCAATTTTATCTCTTCATAACTCACCCCACACGTTTAAATAACACTAACTTTTACATAATTGAAGGATATTGTTTGTGGAGCAAGTTCAAGAGCTCAAGTATCGTTATGAAATTCTATATTTTCAAATTCATTTGAAAACTGAAACATTTTGTTTCTAATAGATACTCTATTATTGATAAACTTTTATATACCAAATTGAAGACCATGCCAAATAGAATATAATCTCAAGTGTTAGTTTGATAAAGACAAATCAAAATAGATTTAGGTCAATTTTTCTTTAAAAATAGTGGGTGTATATCATCTTTAAGTATCAACAAATAACTATTTAAGTTAAACTAATTACAAATAGATAGTGCAGATGATACTATTTTTCTATAATCACCTCTCATGGTTAATGGTAGTGCATGTGGACTATTGATCCCGATAAAAGAGCCCTATCAAGTAAAAGTTGGTCGTGAATGATAGAATAACAAGGAGAATGACTTTCGCAACTAAAAGAAAATGCCCGATAAAATTGTGTAAATTTTTAGAAGTAGTGGACCATATATGTATGTGTTTGTATATATAAGTGTGTATACAAACCTAAGTCTCAAGAAGTATTACGTTTTTTTTTTCTTCGTCCAACCGGGATATTTAAACTAATTTATATGTATTTTGATTATTTTATTATTTAATTTAATTAAAAATAAATTATTTATACCAAAATTCAAATTTATTATGAATTTATAATTCGTCTCTTTCACGTTATTTCAAAGTAATTAGGATAGTTTAAAGTAACAACAAGAGATGTTCAATTTTCTGTTGGTTTTACCACACACACTCCCAAGGCTGACCGAGCCAAGAGATTCCACGCTCCTGCAATTCTCTCCTGCAATTCTCTCTCTCTGGACTACAAATGGAAGGCGGAAGGAAGAAAAGTAAAGACCTACTTGTAAAGAGAACCCGATTCTTTGAATTCTCAGTTCTCTAATCACGCGTCGTTAAAATTCTTTCTGATTTATTGAAGTATCCTATGAATAATATCATATGGGAACCGAATTCGTCGTTTGTAACTGCTACGCTGGCTTTGGATGGTGGTATTGATAAGAATGAGGGTGTGAAATAGTTGGGTTGGGATTGGAAAGTGCCAATATCAAGGCGGCGAAGTAATAGCAATGTTGCTGTTCTCGATGACACTGTTTTTTGGGTTTTTTGTCGGCGCGGTGACGATTTTAGCGGCTGAAGCTTTCGGAATTCTCTTTATAATTCGGCGACTCAATCGAAAAATAGAACAAGAAGAAGCGAAGTCTATTGTTTCGCAATCTTCAGCAGGACTGATTGAACTCGATCCCTCTGTTTACAACAAACAGGTCTGGGACTACTTTTGAGTTTTCTTGTTAATCATCAGTTCATTGCATTGTTCTGCACTCTCTTTCTGTCTCTGTCTTTCTTTTTTCTTTTGATATTGTTATCTTTGAATTGCTGTTGGCGATGAATGATTAAAAAATTTGACTTTTTATCAGGAATTCCACCAAAATTATGGGTTTTTTTTTCCTTTCCCAACTGCATTGACTTGTTAATTGGGAAACTTAGGACTGCGTTGTTTCGGTTCCATGAATTAAATTGGAAGTGAAACAAAAGAATTAAAATCCATGTGCCAGAATCTTGCGTACCGCGAACTCGGGATTTCAAAACCAACTCAATTCAGTTAAAGTCCATGCAACTCATACTTGATATCTTGTTCTTATGTTATTTGGGACAGATAAAATGCACGCTTATATCATTATGACACAATGAATTATTTTCACTTTAATCACTTTAAAGAGAAACGTGACAGTGGAGTGTAATTGGGTGTGATCCACTCATCCGCCCATTCTAACTCAAGATTGTACAACTCTCTCTCTCTCTCTTTAAAAAAAAGAAGATGGTCCCAAATTCTTCTTGCTTTAATTTTCCAATAGTGGGTGTTGGATGTTGCAAAATCCAGCCAACTTTTCCAAGAATCTTTGTGTATATTTATCTTCAATTTTTACTTAAGGTAGTGATGGCCTGGAGAAGAAGTGGCAGTGTTTGTCCATGCACGAGCCCTCCCCCTTGCCAAAAAAAAAAAAAGGCATGGAAACAGTATTATACCCTTTTACTGACTCCCAAAACCAGATAAGACAACACAGTGAATTCATCAAAGTTCAAGTGAGTGAGCCATGTGGCAACTTTACGAATTAGTACTTCTTTAAGTTGGCAGCAACAATGGTGTGCCTGGTTTATTGTTGTTGGGTTTTGGGGCTAGCTACCGGCTCAGAAATGAGGCTCTTTGGGTTTTAGGAGAAGTTAACAAAAATGGCAGGTTTTATGGTTTGATTGATGATCCACTTACCTCCATTTTGAACTCTCTTTTATGTTGTGGATGACTAAAGTGCCTGCCTTTTTTGTGGACTATTGCTCATAGGAAGATTAGTACTTGTTATTTGATTCAAAGAAGGAGACCTAATGCTTATCTTTCTCCCCTTTGGTGTTTGTAGAAGCTACAGTGAGGGCATTGATGATCTTTTTCTTCATTGTCCTATTGTGCTAGCATTGGGACATAAATTATTTAGGGAGGCTAGGCTGGATCAAATAATTCCCCGAGCTTGTGTATCTTGATTTGTGGAGAACTACAAAGGCTCTAAGACTAATTTGATAGACAAAGGTAAGTTTTTGGCTTCTCTATGGGCATGGACGACAAAAAGGCCTGGAATTGGTCTTTTGAAAAATGTGCCCCTTTTTTCCCTCGAAAAGCAAAGAAAATTTTGAGGGACGTGTAAAATATTTTTGTCGAATGTCAAAATTTAGAATATTACCCTACCGTTCTAGTAGACCTTGATGCTAATCTTTTTGATTTTTTTTGGCTTAGGAAGTAGATTTTTTCCTTACTTAGTGATGATTACGAATTGATCCGACTATGAGACTATATGGAATAGTATCTAAACAAATGTCAAAGGAATAAGGGAGGGAGAAAAGAGAGGAGAAAAGAAAAAAAGAAAAGGAAGGATGGGATAGACACTGTGGTTGGAACACAAAGTGAAAACCTTAGGGTTACCTCCCTTGTATTCTACTATTTATACTGTCTAGGATGTAAAAACATAAATACCTCTGGGCCATACAAATCTATATAATAAAAGAGTTAGGAGTTTGAATTTTATCCCTATATATTTTTTTCGTTCATTTCTATTACATCACTCATTTCTATCATAAGTTAAATTATTTAATTTTTTATTAATTTGTGCCTCAATACAATTTTATTTCAGACATTGTTCATATACGATAGTGTATATATGTTAATTTTTTTTTTGAGGTTATGTATTTTGAGAAAATTTTGTTAATTTTTTTTATAAATATAATAAGTAGAAATTAATTTCAAATTATGTAATTAATAAAAGGGGAGGCAAGAAAATTTTTTATTTGATATAGTGTTATTGATTTTTTGGACATTCGGATTTTATGTTGCATCATGTTATTATTTGATATAGTGGTATTGATTTTGTTGATTTTTTTTATAAAAATAATGAGCAGATATTAATTTCAAATTATGTAATTAATAAAAGGGAAGACAAGAAAAATTGTTATTTGATATAGTGGTATTAATTTTTTTGGATGTTCAGGCACGAGTTATGGCTAGTAATAAATTATTCCAACAATCATATATGTCCAAATGTATTAATTGCACTAATGTATCCACCAATTACTAGTAAGCCCTTCTAAGATTTGATAAGATGCCCCTTCCCAGAAGTGTCATCTGAATTAGCTATTCTATTCCATATTCCTTGTGAATACAATTTTAATAGCATAAATTTGGGGTATTACACTTGCTGTCTTAGTTGGTAAAACATGATCTAGTAGTAGCACATGCTTTAAGTTGAATGCGAGTTTGAACACCAACTTTGCCTTCAGTGACTCAGTTTGACTTTTGTCTGTAGGACTACTTGAAGATAATTTGAGAGAAAACTGGCTGAGATGGTTTGGGCGTGTCTAACTGCACTAGAAAGTGACAGTGTCATCATCATGGTAACAACAACACTAGGAGAAGTGGGAGACTAAAGTTAACTCTGATTTATAAAGATGTGCAAGGTTATAACTGAACGAAGTATATGGCTGTAGATAGAACAAAATGACAAAGTAGGGCTGATATAGTCAACCACAAGAAAGTTGGAACAAGAGGCCATTGAAACGAACATGATTGCATAGTGATGAACATGTGATATCCCTGTCTTAAGTTTTCTAAGCCATTTGAATACCGCTTTTAACCTCAAGTATAAATTGATGTAGTTCAATGATCTTGATAAAGTCTTTATCATAAGATTTGCTTGATGCCTCTCTTCCTTGTTGATTATTTTCTCTGCCACTTACTGCTTATGTATTGATAAGATAAAATTCAGTCGGGAATGTGCCTATGATCATGTTTGCATGCTCATAAGATTGGAATTTTTTCTTATGTACAAGTTGTTTATTTTTTTCCCATGGAAGGTTCTTGGTCGTTATTCCATTGACTTGTTCTGTTTGTCTCTCTTAGGGGGTCGTTTGGGTTCTAGAATCAGAAAGAGTTCCCAAGACTTGGCTTGTAGCCAAAGGACCAAGAGAACAAAAGCGGAAAAAGGATGTTTTGGAGGTCGCACCTGTTAGAAAATATGCAAAAATCGAGGATCAGTTACTTGTCCTAACAGAATCAGATAATTCCCACACCAAAATTTTGCTGAAGGGTTGTATAATAGCAGCTGTTTCTGCTACAAGCTTGTCCTCAAGAAAATGGTAATGTTTAGTCTTTTTTAAAAATGACGTCGTAATAAGTAAATTTGGTAAATACATTTCATTAGTTGTCCTGAAGTGTTTTTTTGGCAATTACTCTATGTCAACTCGATAAGGTCTCATAAGTAGGGTGTCCAACACTTATCCTTAGGACGGGGAAGCCCCATAACTCAAGTCAACAAAGTTGCGTGTGTACGTACAGCTGCAGTTGGGCCCAACCTACCCAAGCTAAATCTTTGGTGGCTATAAGCACCCTTTCCCAAAACTGCAGTTAGGTTTGGGCTGAGGTCCTTGGAAACCAAGCCATTCCAAGCCCATCAGTCTTTTTAGGAAGAGAATGGAAACATAATGCTTGTGCTCTATAGATTCCTATTTTCTTTTGGGATTGCCAAACTTATTTTCGTTTCTAATTAGTTCTAGGAGTGTTGAACCTGCGGCTTCTCCAAATCAAAGTAGCATAAAATGCGAGCCCATTTTGCAATGAACTTGTATGTAGTTCTCTAAAAAGAAGGAAAAGAACTATCGCGACCTAATGCAACTAGATGAACCTGACAAGCAACCTGAATCTTAACAAAGCTTACAAATCTAAATTGATTTGGTTTGGGCATAGGCTATATTACACGTCAAGTTAAATTTGCATGGCCAGACTGCATGATCATACATCCTCTCTGTATAAGGGCATGGTTTTGGCTAAAACATATCCTGCTTTCCTCACAATCTCGAGAATTGTAATTTTTTGGTCCTTCTACCATCTTCACACCGTTTTAATTCTAGACCATGTTTCTCTTTTTTATTTTTTTTTCCTAGTTTTTATGTTTGAGAGTTTATTGTTTCACTTCTTTATATTCTATAGCAGTGTATCTACAAGTCCTGAGAAGCATTGAATTTCTCATCCTATGCTCCTATAATATGTTCTTGTTATTTTATAGGTCCATTTGAGTATATCTTGTTCTTACTGGCCCGACGTTGGGGTCCATGAAGATGGTATTAGGCTTTCCTTCCAATTTAATGGCTATAAGTTGATAACATAAACACCCCAAATTAGGACTCCATTTCCCCCCGGAAGCTTAGATCAAATTATGCGATGAGAAGTGGAAGAGGAAGAGAGAAAAGAAAATTATCAGCTACTCTCCAAATTTCCATAATTAGACATATCGCTACAAAAAATCCCTAGTGATTAGGTGAGGACAAGATTTGAATATGTCGTCTTCAGTTCATAGGCCTGTTGAGTCAACCAATTCCTCCACCTTACTTCTTCCCCTTCTTGTTCTTTTAGTAATGTATAAAGAGATTTAGAAAAGAAAAAGACTAGACTACCTTTGATGAAATAGTTTAACGAGGTATTAAATACAATCTGAACCAATGTAACCTGAATCATGGGTCACTTTAGTGCGTAATACGGGTACGCGGTAAGACACTTTCTTAGGTATGTGGTACGATGAGGACATGCTTAGCTGATATGATATTTTGGATCGTAATTTGTTTTGGAACTCTTATCTAAATTGTTTTTATCATTATACAACATTATATATCCTAGAACATCTATAAACACTAAGTCAGTTACTATTTATCTTAAATTTGTGCTTGATTTCTATTATCTAAAATAATATATAATTATAAATCTATATCCATGTAGTTAATTAATATGTATTTTATATTTGTGTTACATGTACAATTTGGGATCGTATATTTTGGTAATCTAGATAGCGAGCTCACCTTGTTTGGAATCGATGTACCTAGATTATAAGTTGTTAGGAATTTAGTGAATTTTGGTAACTCTGATCTGAAAAACCCCTCAAAATCATGATATGACGATAACAAGTAGCAAAAAGTTTGTCAAGAAGAAATGAACACGCAAAGTGGTGTGGGATTTCATGAAGAAATCGTCTAACTACATACCAGAAGAAGCAAACAGCTAGGGAATAGTCCCAAGCAAGAGACGATGACGCACAAAATGATAGTGAATTCAATATGTTTGGTTCACTCATGGAAGTGAATGGAAGATAAAATGAACAATATCATGAATATAAAAAAAATCAAGGCGGTTAGGATACTTAGGAATATATTTTGAATAGTGAGAGGTGAGATGATCTACATCATTAGAAGCCTACGCCGACACAACTAAAAGAGGCAAACGAGCTGTATAAACAACCATGTGCGTGTTCTGCTAAAAACTTAATTACCTTTGCTCTTTTGAGAAGAAATATCTGCTGTGGTCTTTAATATCCTTTTCATTTGGTTTGTATAATTTTGCAGGGCCAAAAGATATCCTATCAAATTGGAGAGCAAAACATCTGTAATATACCATGAAAGCAAAACCTTGTACATGTATGTTGAGACATCTTGGGAGAAGGAGTCATGGTGTAAAGCTCTCCGACTTGCTTCCTGTGATGACAAAGAAAAACTTAATTGGTTTGCCAACTTGAATCTAGAGTTTCAACGTTACCTGACATCCTTAAACACAGGTTACCCTTCATTTATGAAACCTTCTATGGGTTTCACCGCTGAGTCTATGGATAAGTCAATCAAGCTTGAGGGTTCTTCCTCAAAGGTTCGCCACTTTCTGAAAAAACTTGCAAAGAAGGCTTCAAAGAGCGGTATTGAAAATAAGGCAACCTGGAGTTCGACATCAGGCTGTGAAGAGAAAAAGGTCCTTGAAAAATCTCGTTTTTCACATGAGCCAATTTTGGCCACTGGCTTGCTAAAGACATCTACAATTGGGAAGGCTCCTAATTGTTCTGTGGAAGAGAATATGGTGCCATCATCCTTGCCATCTTTTCCTCAAGCAGGAAGCAGAAGCTCTGTTATTTCTGAAGCAGATTCTGATGATATCAATTTTGGCGATGAAGGAACACTTTGTTGGAATTTGTTAATATCACGATTGTATTTTGATGCCAAAAGCAATGCGGCTATTAAAAGTTCCATCCTAGCACGGATTCAGGTTTGCAAATCTTCTTTATTCTGATTTTAAGATTTAATGGTATGCATCTATGGGCATGGTTGCATGGTACATGCTATGTGTTGGGTTGGGGCAGCTAGGTTTTATCACCTTTCTCTTGTTAGTCTTCACAGAGAGTAAGCTTCTGTGGATGAATATAAGCTTTGGTTGGATAGTTTTTACAAAAAGGTTAACGTAATTGGAAAATTAGCTAGGTACAGAAAATGCACGGGGTATCTTGGTTGTTTTCATGTGTTGAGTGCTATAAGTGAGCATGTTGTTGTTTTTGGAATGCTTATAGAACTTGCTAGAGAAGAAGAAGAAGAAGAAGGGTAAAACTATGAAAAAACCTGATTTCTTCTTCTGATTCTTTCTCTGCTGTTATTCTTCTTTTGATTTTGCAGCTGGCTTTTACTTCTCTCTCTCTTCCTCTCCTCTTCTTCTTCTCTCTAATGCTTTCCTCTTCTCCTTCTATGAAGTTTAAGATAGAGCAGAAAACCTTTGCGGTGAACTTGGACGAACAAGCAATTGGACAAAGTATTCAAATCATCAAAAGAAATAGGAGAGATTGGTTTTATTTTCCCGTTGAAATTGATTGTGCTTACCGGTTGAAAGGCTAAAAAAAGTGTTTGCATTGGAAGGGGAATGGTGTTTTCTTCAGGAAGATTGGGGCAGATGGTTATGTCGTGGTGTTCGAGTTTTTGAACTGTTAAGAGTATTAGGGTAGTATGTGTAAATTATTAAGAGTATTAGGGTAGTATGTGTAAATATAAGAGGGTATATTTGTCTCTTTCTGATTATTGTAAGTTAACTATAAATACAAGTGATGATGAGAGGTAGAGCTAAGTTTTGACCCCTCTCTGTTTCTCTCTAATATTGTCTCTAATATTATGTTAACCCTCTCAACTTAACATGGTATCAGAGCAATTATGATCCTAAATATATTAACTTTGTTGTGGTGGTGTGGTACTATTATTGTGGCGGTGCGGTACTGTTATTGTGGTAGCGTTGTGGTGGTACTGTTATTGTGGTGATTCTTGTTGGTTTGGTGGCGTGATCTTTCGTGGTGGTGGTGTGGTATCTGTTCATCGTCGAGTAGTGCTGTCATCGTGGTGGTGTGGCTGTGGTGGTACTGTTGTGGTGGTTCTTGTTGATGTGGTGGCATGATTGTTCGTGGTGGTGGTGTGGTCTCTGTTCATCGTCCAATAGCATCGTGGTGGTGGTGGTGTGGCTGTGGTGGTGTGTCGTTCGTCGTCGTGTGTGGCGCCGTCGAAGACCAAAGGCTTGGAACCCTAATCAACAAATAAGAAGGGATCCAACCCGTGGAGTCGGGTCTGGATCAGATTGGGTCTAGCCCACGGTCTTAAGTTGTTTTAAGTCCAGCCCAATTAGTCTTCCAGCCTAAGACCTGATCCAGCCAATAGTCCATCTTAGATCAAATCAATCTCGGTCCAGCTGAGACCGGATCAATTCCAATTTGATCCCGGTTCATCTTCAGATCGGTTCAGACTGGTTCAGTAGTCTAAAGAGCCCAGTCAGTCCGATTCAACAGTCTAGCTAGGTTTTTCGGCCCAATTTAGTCTTCCAGCAAGTTCAGCCAGTCTGGTTCAACTGTCCAGAGAGCTTAGTCAGTCCGGTTTAGTGGTCTAGTCTAGTTTTCTAGCCCAGTTTAGTCTTCCAGCAGGTTTTTTTTTTTTGTTGGTTCAACATTACAGCAGTTTCTTGGTTGCTATTTGCTACACTGTTATGGAACCCAAGCAAGGTGACAGCTCCCTGACTCCATATTTGCCACCTACCTCTAATCCTACTCTTCTCAATGGTTCCATGACTTCTGTTAAACTCGATGGGATTAATTATACTTTATGGTCCCAGTCTGTTCAAGTCTTTTTTCGAGGCAAAGGATTTAAGAAATATTTGGTAGATCCTAAACCCAAGGAAGGTACTCCTGGGTATGATCAGTGGGAATAAGAGGACGCTCAAATTATTTTTTTACTATTGAATAGTATTGAGCCTAGTATTAGTTCTACTCTACTTTATCTTTACACTGCCAAAGAGATATGGGATCACTTGGTCACTATGTATTCTGGTGCAGGTAATTTTATCCATGATTATGAGGTGTGCAAGGAGTACTTCTGGCTGGAGCATGGTACTCTAACCCTTGAGAATTGTTACTCTCACATTTGGGGAGTTTGTGAGGAGATAAAGACCTACCATTCATTTATTACTGATGTAGTAGTTTGACGTAAGCAACATAAAGATCTGAATGTTGTTAGATTTTTAATAGGATTGAAATCTGAATATGAGGCTATTCGTTTTTAGATTTTGGATGGTTCTAGTCTTCCCTCATTGCTTGAGTTTTTTTCTCTTTTACAACTTGCTACTTTGTCTCCTCCTTTAGGCATCGATCATGGTGTCTCCACTGATTGCTCAGCCCTTGTGGTTCCTAATAGCCATAGTGATAGTCATCAAAATGGACGTCGTGGTCGTGGAGGTTGTAAGGGTGGTCGTGGGGGCTGTAGTGGACCCCGCTCTTGTCTCACTGTAGTCGTGGAGGGCACACTGTAGATTTTTGCTGGGACTTACATGGAAAACCTTCTGGTGCATCTAATCAGGCTTTTTATCAGGATGACACCTCAGTTGCTACTTCCACACCTTGGTCAGCTCCACCAGATACTAGGTCTGTTACGATTGCACGAGAGGAGTATGTTCAGTTCCTATCCCAGCAACATACTGTTCCATCTCCTTCCATTGCTACTTTTGTCCAGTCAGGTACTTCTTCCATTTGTTTATTGTTCTCCACTCGCAGTCCTTGGATTATAGATTCTGGCACTTCTGACCACATGACTGGTAGTCTGGTGTTTTTTTTACTTATCAATCTGCTACTTCCACATGCAGTGTTACTTTTGCTAATGGTACTTGTTCTAAAGTTTCAGGTTTGGGGACTACTCACTTGAGTCCTGATATGTTCTTATCCTCCTTGTTATTTGTCCCACAGTTTTCTTTTAGTTTACTTTTCATTAGCAAGATTACCCGTTCTCTCAATTGTTCCATAACCTTTTGTCCCTGTTATTGTGTATTTCAAGACGAAGAAGAAGATTGGTACGGTGCATGAAGCTGCTGGCCTATATTACTTTAATTTTGATTCATCTACTTGGGCTCTATAGACTTTGTTGTCTCCTTTTCAATGATATTATCGTTTTGGACATCCCTCTCTCCAGAATTTGAAGTGCCAAATTCCCAGTCTTAGTTGTATGTCATTTTTGTCTTGTGAAACTTGTCAACTTAGTAAGTATCGCCGTGTGTCCTTTCAGTCTAGAGTTAATAATCCATTTGAGTTTGTACATTCTAATGTATGAGGTCCATTAAAGAATATTTCATCAATAAATATCCTTATTTTATGTCATTTGTGGATGATTATTCTCGTGTGACTTGGTTGTTTCTGGTGAAAACTCGTTCTGAATTATTCTCTATATTTGAGACCTTTTGCAAGGAAATAAAAACTCAGTATAATTGTCGTATGTGTATCTTACATTCTGATAATGCTCGGGAATATGAATCTTATCCTTTTGCAGCTTATCTTAGTAAGACTGACATTATTTATCAGACTTCCTGTGCTTACACCTCTCTACAGAATGGTGTTACTGAACGCAATAACCATCATTTGTTGGAAGTCACCCGTGTCCTGTTATTCCAGATAAATATTCTCCGATATTATTAGAGTGATACTGTTCTTACTGTTTATCATCTTATTAATCGTATGTCATCCTCTATGTTAAATAGGCAAAGTTCATATTCTGTCATTTTTTCTGGTAAGTTCTTATTTTTCCTAGCTCCTAAGGTTTTTGGATGTATTTGTTATGTTCACAATCTGGGTCCTGGGTTTGAGAAACTTGACCGTTGAGCTACCAAATATATATTTCTTGGATACTCCTGCACACAGAAGGGATATCGTTGCTATAGTCCTTCTTTGCGACGATACTTTACTAGTGCCGATGTAACGTCTGAGGAATTTGTTCCTTATTTTTCAGCACCTGCTCAGCCTTTAGACCTGAACTTTGGGCCATCTCTTGTACCACCATCTCTTTTCTCATCTTCAGGTATTCCGCTATCTACTGGGTTACCATCTGTTTTACCTTTTCGTGTATACTCTCGTTGTCCTCACCTATCGATTGAGGTGTCCGTACCGTTTTTCTTGCCACCTTCTGATCCTAGTATATTAGGTAATTTAGATTCTTTACCTATTGTTCTTCGAAAAGGTACTCGTTCATGTGTTACTAATCATCCCATTGCTCATTTTGTTTCATATGATGCCTTGTCTCCTGTCTTATCTTGTTTTACCTCTTAATTATCTGCTATATCTATTTTTAAGAACTTATAGGATGCGTTATCTCTGAGTTAGAGGAAAGTTATAGTGGAGGAAATGGATGCCTTACATCATAATGAGACTTGGAATCTCGTTCCTTTACCTCTTGGTAAACGAATTGTTGGTTGTCATTGGGTGTATACTGTTTAATTTCATCCGGATGGTTCTGTGGAGCATCTTAAAGTCCGTCTTGTTGCAAAGGGTTTTACTCAGACCTATGGTGTTGATTATGAGAAGACCTTCTCTCCTGTTGCCAAAATTTCATTTGTTCGTATCTTAATTTCTTTGGCTGCTAATCTTGATTGACCTTTATTTCAGTTAGATGTCAAGAATACCTTCCTACATGGAGACTTGATTAAAGAGGTATACATAGAGCAACCACCTGGGTTTACTGCTCAGGGAGAGTACGGTAAGAGTGTATATTGGTTAAAGAAATCGTTGTATGGTTTGAAGTAGTCACTGAGGGCATGGTTTGGTAAGTTTTTAGATGCAGTTTTAGAGTTTGGTCTTCTTTGCTGTCAGACAGACCATTCTGTGTTTCATAGAAAGACGGATGCTGGATATGTTTTATTAGTGGTCTATGTAGATGATATTGTGATTACTGAAAATGATTTTGAAGGGATTGCCAAGTTAAAAATCTTCTTGTAAGATCGATTTCATACTAAGGATTTGAAAAAACTCAAGTATTTCTTGGGTATTGAGGTGGCTCGATCGAAACAGGGTATTTGTTTATCCCAAAAGAAATATGTGCTTGACATACTAGAAGAAGCAAGTTTGTTAGATGGCAAACCTATTGATGTTCCTATGGATCCGAATCAGAAACTGTCGATGGATGATGGTGCAATGTTTAAAAATCTGGGTCGGCATCGTAGATTGGTTGGGAAGCTCAATTATCTCACTATTACTCGACCGGATATTTGTTATGCAGTCAGTGTAGTAAATCAGTTTATAGAGTGTTCTACAGTACTATCTCAAATATGCTCTTGTTATTTGGACTGTTATATCGAGCTAATGGACATCTTAGAGTAGAAGGTTTCTTAGATGCTGACTGGGCTGACTCTCCTTCTGATTTGAGATCAACCACTGGTTATTATACTTTCTTAGGAGGTAACGTTGTCTCATGAGAAACAATCCGTGATAGCAAGATCCAGTGCTGAGGCTGAGTATAGGGCAATGGCGCATACGATGAGTGAGTTGACTTGGCTATTATACTTTCTCCAGAAAATTAGATTTCCGGTTCAACCTTCTTTACAATTGTTCTGTGACGACCAGACAACTATCCATATCACTGCCAATCCAGTGTTTCACCAGAGAACTAAGCATATTGAAGTTGATTGTCACTTTATTTGA